CCTTAGCTGCAGCCCCCCGCCCCCCTCCCCCCCGCTGCCTGGCCATTGATTTTCATATTACACTCTTTTATGTATTTATTTATTTCATATATTTCTTTTTAAACATCATTGATGTGCCGCAGGAGGACAGACGGGGCCTCTGGTGATGTTAATTCAGAGTCTCAGCCTCATCCTCCTCTCTGATGGCTTTAATGGAGGCCAAGGTGTCCCACGGGAACGGGCAAACTCTGCGACATGGGAAGGGGGGGATAGAAAGGGGGGGGAGAACAGGGTTGGAGAGATTTAGTGAGAAAGGGAGGCTTCTTTTGTCTGGTGTGACAGGAAAAGGCCGGCTAGTCAGGCTGTTGTAGTCAAAGGTATGTGCAGCCTCTTGAGCGTTTACTCTCAGACCGAGGTCCGGATAGTCCTGTTATCCTTCGCCCCAGAACCACACGAGTGGTTTTGGGATGGACGATATGTCCCGAATGAAAGTGTGTTACACTTTCAGGCCTCTTGACAATTCTGACGCAATAGATACCCATAATCCCTGACATCCTCCGGGACCCCCGTCAGCTCTTGACCTATGAATCATTCAGGGTTTCCCCCCCAAATAGTGAAGTTACTGATGCCAGCTATGGGGGCGATTGGGTGGGGCACTCGAAGGACACTCCCAGGAGGTGTGAAGGACGGGGAGTTTTGGCTAATTTGACCGCGCGTGGCAGTGCTCACAGTGGCAAGGTTACCTCTCCCGGCTCAGAGAGGAGACCCAGATTCAATTAGGACCGGTCCCGATCTGCAGATCCGTTTAACACAGGAGGGCATTCCTAACACACACACACACACACACACACATTAACATACACGCAGCAAATAGGTCGCACGCACGTGCATGCAAAAGCCTTTACATGCATAGTACGTACTTCTACACAATACATGTTTGTATGATCAATTCTTGCTTCATCTTTGGATTTAAATGGCAGTTCTGCATTTAGATGAATTACAAATCACATCACACATTGTTGGAGTTTTCTAAATTCTGCCTATGTTCTATAGCGGACTTTAGAATCAGATATTTTCTTAAATGCACTGACTAGGAGAGATACACAGGACTTGATGCTATTTGTTTTAGATTAAGATAAACATAAAAGTCTTTAGAATTTGGAATACATTTAGTAGAAAGTGCTACAAGGTGGTTGTGTCCGGTCCGTGATGTCGTTGCCACGGTAGCTGATCTGGTTACAGATGGGACCCATGAAGGAGGGTCTCCCTCTCCTCCATCGCTCTGTGTTCTGCTTACTGATTAATGGCACCTGCTCATCATAATGCTATCTGCAGGAATCTGCATACCAATGATCCCAGGCGCCTATCGATTCACCCCTCATCTTCCCCACACACACCCATGAGACTGATCCACACACTCGTACCCTCTCACTCCCCCGCTCCCTCCCCCCAACCACTGTCATTATAAAAGTCAGCAGCTGCTGCATGCATTGATCATAAATCATAATTGCTTGTCCATTTTTCCTCACTTGTTTAATGTTGCTGTCAGGGGCAGTGGGAGAGTGGGGGGGGGCAGGGAAAGGAAGAGTGGGGGGGAAAAGGCCCTGAGAAACTTTCCTGAGATAAAGAAAAAAGACCTGAGAAAAATGCTGAAGATGAACTAGAAAGAGAGGATGTGATGGCGAGAATGAAGAGATCTACTGGAGGTCATGGGAGGAGCATAGCCATCCTTCCATCTATCTTCACACCGCTTATCCTTCATACAGGGTCGCGGGGGGGGGGGGGGGGGGGTGTGGAGTCAATCCCAGCCAACTTCGGGCGAGAGACTGGGTACACAACTACGAGCAATTTAGATTTACCAATCAACCTGATCCCCAGTGCGTGTCTTCAGACTATGGGAGAAAGCACGAGTACCCGGAGAGAACCCACGCAGACACGGGGAGAACATGCAGACTCCACACAGAACCCGGGAGCCAGAACCGTCATGGGCGGCACGGTGCCAACCACCGTGTCGCCCATGACTGTATGACCTTTTTATATATTGCTTTCACCTCTTAAGAAACATGTTGTACAGCGGTTATCTTTTGGGCCTTTTAGCTTTTGCAGGTAAGCCACTTCCTTTGATACGGTCGCAGCCCACTGCTCACCCCAGAAGAATAAAACATCCCCTTGCCTGGTGACGTGGCCGGAATGTCTGCCAGTAATCTGGCTAAGGTCTTGTTTGTTAGCTGTAATTACACTGACTCTAGCTATGATATATGGATGATTAATTACAGCACCTTTTAAGCAGCATCTTTTTTTTTTGAGAAAAATGAATGCTTTTGCAGTCCACGGGGCACCAAACACTTTTTCTCACTGTGCCTCCTTCAGACTCAGACCCGGCAGTGACGGACCTTTACTTTTAGTCCAGGATCTCTCCTCTGGCTCCGACGTAGACGAACACAACAAAAGACTGATTGAAACCTGTTTTCCAAGAGGAGATAAACTCCAGCCACCTCTGTGTCCCATTTGTATCCCTGACTGAGTTAACTTTCTGCCTCCGATGGGGCCGTGATCCCTGCTGGTGACGCTGGAGCAAACAGCTCGGGTTTGCAGTTTTCTTGTCCTGTAGTCCTTTGGTCTGTGAAGGCGAAATCACTTTCCAGAAATGACCACAGCATCTGTGACGGGGCCTTTTGCGTGTCCCCCTGCAGGTAAACACAGTTACAGACTACGTTTGATTTGATCCTCGTTGGCCTCAATCCCACTCCTGCCCTCTGTAGGGAAACGTCTGACAAAAGAGACACAAATGTATACACGCACGATCATCTTTCATTTGACTATTTTGAAATAGTTCCAGCGTTTCTTTTTGATCCATAAAGAAATAAGGCCACGCTCATAATCCTCCTACATCCTTAAATTTGCCGTCTTTCTCTTTCATCAATCTCGCTTCACGTTGAGTGTGTGGCAAAAATGATAGATCGGTGTGACTTAAATTCAGCAAAACTGCAATTGTACTAATAGATCAATCCCGAGCCATGCTGCTCCTAAGCATATTGCTCCACCCCATTAGGGTGATACACTACACAGCGCTGGATCTCTGCTGCTGCTGCTGGTATTGTGCAAGCCGCGGCTTTATTGAGCACTCTGCTGACATCCAGCCCAGCATTTCTGCACCGCAAGGGGAAACTTTGGACGACATGTAAAAGCCGCGGTTTGGTGCGACACGCCTCCGTAATGGGATGGGAACAGGGGTGCACCAGAAGGAAGGAAGGAAGGGAGGTGAGGGACGGGGGAGGGGGCAAATAACTGCAGGTATTGGGGGAGTTGTGGGAGTGTCGCTTCCAGGCTGCTTCCAAAGCAAATGGAAGGCAATCCAATTTCCTGTGATTCCATCAAGCCCCCGTCCTGGATGAAGGGGCATTAGGCAACGCTGAGAGGACAGGCCGCTGACCCCTCACATGACCATGCAAGAAACACGTATGCCGTGCACACACGCACACACTGGCGACGTACTCCCTGACGAACATGCACGTTCACAAGAAAAAATACTATGTAACCGTACTTTCGTACTAGCAATAGTGTTTGCCTGTGAATTATCAATCACTCATTCACACTCTTCGGTGTGCGCTCGCTGAACGACTGGCTGACAATTAGCGCCTGTAGCAAATTAGGGTTTAAACCCCCTTATGCTTTAATCATAGCTGCATGTGTCTGTGCACGCTCTCGAGAGAAAGTGAAGTATGTATTTTCCTCTCAGTTGCAGAGCACATTTCATTTTTTAAATCTTTTTTGTTAGATTTTTTTTTTGGTTTACAGAAAGTGCCCTGACTGTAGAATCGTTCCCTGTCTCTCTGAATCATTGTGGGCGACAGACACAATGTCCTCGATGCATCACAGGTTGCTGCTTAACTCGCAGACAGACAGCGTTGTTGCCTTGGGTTAACTACGGCACGCTCTCCACGCTGGTGGCGATTTGCATCTGTGCTCTGTGATCCACCCAGAGGGAATAGAAAGCTCTAATCCAATCAGCAGGTCCCCAAAGTGCTGCTCCGGAGCGAGAGAGAGAGAGAGACGCACAACAAGAGGATCACTCTGCACCAGGGCCGGCTCGAGAGGGGAGACGGGAAACGGACCAAGAAGGAAAGGAAAGATGGAGGAGAAGACTGAGTGGAAAAGAGAGAGAGAACGGTTGATGTTGTAATGAAAGGAGAGAGGGAAGAGGAAAGAAAGGAGGGACTGGAAAAGAGAGCGAGGCGACTGTGCGAGAGCTAATGAAAGGAACGGGATGAGGGAGGTGTGGTCTGCAGAAAGGGAGGACAGAAGAAGAAGAGGAGGAAGAATTGGATGAGAGTGCAGGGAGGACATGAAAGTAGCCGAAAAGCAGGAAGGCGCATGAGAGGATCCGCTGTTGGAAGGGCAAAGGCGGAAAGACTAATGAATAATTTTGCCATAACACTTTTAGTAATTTGGAGGTATTTCCACTGCAATGACATTTTAGGGCACCAAAAGAAATGTCACTGCGCTTGCTTGCTTTTAATCCGTCTCTGGGAATTTGGGGCCATTGTGCTTGGCTCAAGGACTGCTCTTACTCTGTGACTGAAGCCAGCGGTTGGACCATTTGTCATCATTAGAAGGTGCAAAGGCAAGCTAGAAAAGTGATTAAGAACTGGATCTCCTGTTGATGACGCCTGTCATATATATTGTCTTATTAAACCTGCACACACTGACACACACACACACACACATATATCTCCTGTGTCCTATGTCCAATCTACAGTTCTAACAAGAATTATATCTCTATCATTGACCCCTTGTCCCCACAATCATTTTCACCGTACTCTCACAAATCTGCCTGCACACACACACATAGTTGCAAGAGACCACTGAAGTTCAAGTCCCCCTCAGACAGGCTTTTTAATATCTCATCATCTCATAACTGGCATTTGGTACATTGGAAACATTGTACCTTTGGTGCACAGCCAACAAGAAGGAGGAGGTTGGTATATTTTGTAACATCTGATGCTTGTTTTGTCTTACAGGATAATGAAGGACAGACAGCACTACATTATGGTAAGAAGGACCTTTTTGATAATCTCAATTGTATTGTATTCTGCTTGTGCTGGTGTGTGTGTGTGTGTGTGTGTGTGTCCTTTGGTATGTATGTGTGGATTCCTGTCTGGTTTTCTTATTTGTGTGTGTGTGTGTGTGTGTGTAATAATCGGTGGGCCTCCCAGAGGAAATCAGCACTGGTCCTTAGACACCCCTGACCCTCTCATGCCCCAACACAAAAGTCCCGGAGGGGCGTTTCCCGTGTCCTCTGAGTGTGTGTGGCTGCACCATCTGTCCCCCAGCTCGGTGGCGTCGGCGCGGGCATGTTGCATCACCCGATGGAGATCAGCACACACAAAACACACTCGGCAAAGGAAGCCCCGAGGATGAGGCATAAAAAGATGACTAATAAACATAAGCGATGAACTCCAAGAGACAAATAGCAGAGAATGAAAATTCATTCCCACCTCTCTTTGCACAGGGCCACAGAGCCTGGCAAGTGATTAATTGAGGGTTTACTGCTCACCATAAATTGTTCTCCTCCTCTATGGCTCCCCCGGGGGGTCAGCCACTTTTAACAGCTCAAAGCCCGGGCGAGACACCCGCCACGTGCACACACACACCAACCCCTGGCTGAATAAAATGCTGTTTACAGCAGAGGAGAAGTGCAATTTTGGCTGGGGAAAAATCAGCCGAGCTTTGTTAGTCTGATTCGGCTGAAAGGTAAGTGGCTCTTACCAGTGGCTCGCCGCGTTTGATACTCGTGCTGTTCACAGTCACAAGTTGAGCACGCAGACAAACTTGGTATGCATTCCGACGTATTGTGACCCCCTCATCCACGCGGCCGTCCAGCCACCCTGTGCTCGAGGTTAAAAGGCCTGGCTGTCAATCACCGCGGCTGCTGACATCAGCGATCGTGGCGCAGCACAAAGTCCGCTCTTTAAGAGGAGCGGGCGCTTGACACCGATGGAGAGGAGCACTCAGAACAACAGAGGAGGAGAGAGAGGGATGAGAGGGGAGAAGGGCAGGGGGGGCGCGAGAGGTGCATTGGGGAAGCAGAGACAGGCTAACTGTGTTAAGAAAGAGCATGCCTGTCCCACTTCCTCCCCTTTATACACACAGAGAGAGAGAGAGAGAGAGAGAGAGAGAGAGAGAGGAGACCCTTTTAGTGGGGCACAAATTGCCAATGGGGCAGAAATGAAGTGTTTGAGGGAACTACAGGTCCAGGCCAATGTCAGTGCTGGGCCTGCAGATTGGCTTTTCATTAACTGCAGCGCTGTGCACACTGTGCGTGACTACAAATGTGGAAGAAAAAGATACGAGGCACATCTACTCCGAACTGCTTTGCACTATCATGACTTTAGGTAATGAGCTGCAGTGATCCAGGAAGTACCTCTGGGGAAAGTGGACGTGGATGTTTGTTTCTTTTGTTCCTTTTTCCTATAACTCCTCCAACCTTTTTTCCTCTCTTCTCTTCCCAGCGTCGGCGTGCGAGTTTGCCGACATCGTGGAGCTGCTGCTGAACGCTGGAGCCGACCCCTCCATCAAAGACATGGAGGGCTCGCTCCCCGAGGAGGTCACTGAATCCGGGGCCATCTCCTCTCTCCTGCGTCAGCACACGGCTCCGAAAGGCTAGAAGGCCCATCTTTTCAGCGCGTTTCCTCCCCGCTCCACTCATTCGCTCTTCATCGGCCCTCCTTGATCCCCAAAGAGACTCAGTTCATCCCAGCAGTTGGTAAACCAGGATTGCTGATTGAGTTTTATTTGATTTCAGGTAGGTTTGATTTTGTTGGCGTTGCTCTTTGGAACTACGGGGTGCAAACATTAGCCCTCCTATTTGATAAGACACACAAAATGAAAAACACCACATGTGTTTTCATTTAAATACTGTATATTGAATTTATATGCCCAGTGGGGTTGAGTGATATGACGGTTACTGCAATCACTGGTGGTTTTGCTATGCTGACGTAGTTATACCTTAAATATCTCTTGCTATATTTGACTGCAGGCAATGTTCTAATTCAGTGAGCAGGACTGCTTATATATCGGCAATATTGGAATGACAGGATTTGTGCATCAATATGATAAAATATCTGTATTTTTCAGCTATTTATTCACAGGATAAAACAAAAATACATTCCCATCCACCTATTGAATCTATAAACGGTATGAAATTCAAAAATGTAATATTTTATACATATCGCCCAGACCTACTGTCCGGGTCTGCCAATCAGCCAGGCCTTGTAGAAAGGATCAGCCCTCTCCGACCCTCTGTACATGGTCCAGTTGTTATGTTCAAGGAATGCTTTAATCATTTGTCACATTAAAGTCTTCAACATATACTTTGACTTGTTCTCTGCTCATTACGCACCTTACAGTCAATACCAACCCTTGGTATGTATTGTTCAAACACATCCTGGAGAATGCAGTGTGTATTACTACAATCCTTTTTAACTAAAACCTAAACTGACACCCCACCTTTAGTGAGCACCAAAAATAATCATTTGACCGAAACTGTATTGATGTTCCATTATAGAAACATACATACTGTGATCAGCTTTATCAGACCTGTACCCGCAATTAAAGGTAGCAATACAAAACGTCCACAGATAAAAATAGAAAAAATATGAAACGATTATAATTGCATCAGCAACAACAACTTGACCGTGCTTTAAGTCAAGTCAGATGGTTTGCGACTATATAGATGAGCCTAACCTGTCTAATGCAACTCTGCCAAAACTAATGATCACATGGCTGCAAAGCATACTGACACATAATGAAAAATACTATTGTTTTAATCCCCATCCCACCCGACTGGCCATGACTGATCTTCATTGTCCTCACATCGTACGCACAACATACTGTTCATGCAACACAGGCCTCCACAACCTGCCTCTGTAGTATTATGTCATATGTTAGAGCGCTGGATGTTCTCCAAAAATAACCAACACATGGTCTGAGTTCAAATCAGCTTTACTCTTCCTCAAGCCCCTCTGATCAGCACATTCTCTCCGCCTCAGCGTGCACACACACACACACACACACACACACACACACAGAGATGAGAACACACTAAATCTGGATCTGCATCTTAACTACAGCTTCACAAAGATGCAAATGCACATTTGATCACAACAGAAGGGACAAAGCTTAATCCTTTACTCTCTAACACTCACTGGCTCCATGCTTGCCCTCCTCTACCCACAGTGTCTTACTTAACTGGAATATTCTTCAACACAAGGCGTTAGATAACCGCCTGGTTGCAGCCTGTCAGTCACTCACAGATCTATGACAGCAGTAGGCCGTCTACTCGCCGTTGGTAGTCGTAGCCGGCACTTCAAAATTCAATTTTTTTTCTTCCCTGACAGCTTTTGTACGGAACTGAGATCCAAGTGCCGCACATGAGGCGAATTAAAATGCCTCTGCATGATGTCTGCATCCATGTCCTGTCCTTCCCTCCTTCACAAATCACACCGAACAAGCATCATGATTTACTTCTACAAACTCCGGCCGTTGAGTGGAAAAGCTGCTGTGTATTCAGCCCGAGTCGGAGACACGGCGCACTGCAATCCCACAAAGGCCCGACACAGTGAGCGTCTTCGTTGTTATGAATTCCATCCGCGTCCGGCCATTAGGCTGTTGGGTGTATCTCTAAAGCCTGTTTGGGGCCGCTGTTGTCTCCGCATTGCTCCCTAAACCCCGTTACAACCGGCTCGAGGTAAGAGAGGTTGACGGCAGCCGTGCTTCCCCACCGGCTCGTCTGCGAGACTCTGACAGTAAGCCCATTATGCTTCCATTATGGGGCTTCAATTTTCCTCTGAGCTGTTCACTTTTGACACTGCAGCCCCCCCCCCCATCTCCCCCATCCCCATCCCCAAAACCGCAGACTCCCTCCCCCGCATCCCTGCAGTCCAAATATTGTTCAGCCGTCAGCTGCAATATTTATGCAGTTTTCAGAGGTGAAAAGTAATAATCTTCCATTTCTCCAGCAGTAAACTAAGGTACAGTTTTGAGGTACCGGTACTTTGCTTGAGTGCTTTCATACTTTCACTGCTCTATAACTGTGAATGAAATTCAGAGGGTCTTTTTAGTCCTCAACAGTCCTTTAAGGAGTCCTGGAGATGAGTCCCCATGTTGAATAGGAAACACTTTTGTGGTAAAACTTACCTAATTTTCACATTCTAAAACCTGGTGTCCGATCATTCTCCAACATGTACGCAGGTACGTCCTTAACTCAAGTTAATCAGTGAAAGTAACCTGCTTACTGTCAGAATAATGGGTTTTTGGGAACATTAATAACTAAATTTTCATGTCAACATCAAATCCCAAATATAATCAAAAAGAGACTCAACTTACATATTAAGTGTAAAGGCATTTATTCAGACACCAAAGAAGAGTAATTTGTTTTTGTTGCCAGGAACCTGTGATGTATTTGCGGATGTGCGTCCACCTCGTTAACAATTCCTCCGGAGGGACTCCTCCATCTCTCCTCCTTACCACTCTCATCACTCCCCTTTTCATCTTTCTCCCACCCTGCACACGCTTCTCCTTCTTTACTCTCCACTCCTTTCTCTCTCCTGTAAAAGCAATACCATGTTGTTTCTTTGGCCACACACACACACACACACACACACACACACATACACGCGCACACACACACACACACATACACGCACACAGCCACCCTGAGCAGTTGGAAATCAACAGTAAGCAAAAATATCTCTGATGCTCAAACACTTCCCACTAATATCATGGGCTCTCCCACCCAGTGTCTAGGCAGGCGTGCATGCACATGCGTGTGTGTGCGTGTGTGTGTGTGTGTGTGTCTCCAAGGAGCAGCTCTAAAGCTTTATGTGTAGTTTATGGTGATGAACAAGCGTTTCTGCCATCCGCCCACATCAACATAAGGACCTGAGCTCTCAGACTTCTGGCAAGCCAACAATTATTTGAAACTCTCTCACGGCATCTTCATCACAAGCAATAAGACATAAAACCACAGGAGAACAACAGCCGGACCCGGCAGCCTTCAGAGCAACGAATGCATTGTGGTCACAGCGTTATTTGTCATGGTTTCCTCTGGGTTATGAACCCTCCTCCTCTGGGCGTCTTGTCGATATGTGCAGCAGGATCGTTACACGGTGGGAAAAGGCCCCGTTTCACATTAAAACAGCGTTGAGCTCACAACCTTGAGGGTGTCATTGAGAAGCCTCCGTTTGACTCCGGTCCCTCTTTAAGGCTCACTCCCTCATCCTGCCGATCATTGTTCCCCTCAGGCCCGATGGAGTCGTTTGGGGAGAGAAATGCCCTGTCTAGATGCTGCGGGATTGACTTTCGGGCGAAAACGAATCATCTCTGCTTTGCATGTTAATGTATTCCTCTTTTGCTTTAGTGGGGGAGAAAAAACAGTTTCCTTCAGGAAGTTTGTAATAAAAGCCTGGCGATCGATGATAATGGCATTTGCACTTGTGTTTGTCATCTTCGCGAAAGCAACAGTGGTGGAGTTCCCTGCAGATTTATTTGTATACTAGTGCTGTAAGTGGCGTGTAAATTATCCTAACTGTCTGTGTGGCTTTTTATCTTTGTAGGGCTTGTACTATTAGAGCTTATCCATTAATGCTCATGGAGCAGCCAATCAATGCTTAAATAAAAATCATGGCGTTTGATACAAACGTGCAAACTCCAAGCAGGCTCACTGTTTGCTTTCTGTTTTTATAATGTAACAGGAATAGCTAAAACACAAAGGAATCGATAACACTTACGTTTGGGTTTGGTTGGCCAGCTCTCAGACAAGTGCAGCACATTGCTGCATACAAATGACTTTCGTACAGATGTACTCTGTGGTGTAATTCCATTATAATTCTACACATAGTTAGCCGACACCATAGTTGCAGGGAATAAATCCACTGTAACCCGAGAGGTTTTAGCTATGCATTAACGGCTACTAAGGACATCAGTACACACGAAACACACACACATTGATGCGCACACGTGGTCGAGCTGCTCATCAGGACACTGGTCATGTCCTCTGTGCTGTTTCTGGAATTTGGAGTTTTTGAGAAGGATTTTTAATGTTATTTCTGTCATGTTTTCTTGTATTTATTATCATCTGAGTATTTGTTCTGTCTCTATTCGAGAGGCAACAGTAGAAAGAGGCCAGGATGTGAGGAGAGCGGGCCAAGGAATAACATGGAAGGCTGTTCACTGGACTCTAGCGTGACATTATTGTGCGTGGTCCAGCCTTCCGTGAATCGTGGTACGGATGAATTAGACTCACTTTGTTAATCCTTCAACTTTTCATGCAGCGCCGTCACCAAGTCAGGATCTGTTCAAAGTATATAACACTGTTAGCGTGCCAACCTTTGTATTTCACTCAATCAATGCTGTGCCAGAGCCGCTGTAGAAATGATGTTAATGACAAAAAAAGGTATCAGTAGAGGGTTTTGGGCCATCAATAAAGGGGCTGGAAGTGAATGGATATAGAGGACATCCATAGCAACAGTGGTTGCTATTAAAACATATTCCACAGTGTTGTGTGGTTGCGTTGTGAAAGATCTCAGAGGTTAAACATCTTGGCCACAGCTCTGCATTATAGCCTTTGCAGCAGCGTGACATATTGACAATACAAGCTAAATGCCGGCATATGGGCCATATTCCCTCCCTGCCCGACCACAAAGCATATTTCCCAATATTTGACGAAGCACCCTACAATTAGTTAACAGCGCGGGGGATTAAGGAGAGATTTGACGGCGCGGCGCTGCAATCTGCTGCTGTCTCTCTTTGGTACTGAGAGGATCAGTGAAGCCGGCGAGGCATCTGTTTCTCCACTTGTTTTTATTTTTTCTCTCTTGCTTCTCTCTCTTCATGTATCTTTCTTGTCACCCCCCCTACAGAGCGAGAGAGGAAAGCAGCATCAATCACTGTTAACTGACTGACCACTGTCTGTTGGTGGTACTAAATGGATCTCCACAATTGAATAGAGGCCTAAGTGTGTGGTAAATGCTCTCAATGGGTAAATGAATTTACGGGTTAACTCGCTCTAAGAGCGTTTAGATAAGGCAAAAATAGTAACAAAAAAAAAAACAGCTACAGCAGATATCTTTCTTCTGATATATTGAAAACAAAGCTCAGCTGAATATCTTCACTCCCACATTGATCACTGCAGTCTATCAAAGAGAGGAATGCACTCCAGGGTAACCCAAAGACAATTCAGCTTTATTTTCCTCGTATAGATTTGACTGTACACGGTTCATACCATAACACAGAAGGCATAAATGAATAATTTCAGTGCTCTCTCTTTTACATCTTTTTCAAAGACACATGGCAATAATAAATAGCGCTCATGAAACAAGACAATCAACACGGTTTCAAACTGTACAAAATTTACAACAATTAAGACGCAAAACTTCTGAGGCAACACAGACTTAACAAAACTGCAGTGGTAATGTTTTTGTGTACGTTATTCGCCATACACTTTATTCTATAGCCCGCAAATGACACTATTGTTTGTCCGTTTAAAGTACCAATAGAACGCTGGTTATCTACTGGTGTACTGGGAGAATACTGGGAGTGATGTATTATATATTAACCTTAGGGTGGGGGGCATAGAGACGTATTAGACTCTCACTAATGTTCTGTTCCCTAGAAACAATACTAATGTAAACTTCAACTCATATTTTGAATACTTTCATTGTAATATCAACAACCCCATGTAGTTGATATTACTTACTGTCATCCCCTTTACTTATAGTTCAATCCCAGCACAGTAAGTGTTTTATTGATGTATCTACTGGATAATTATCTTGAAATTTGCGGGCTGTATTCCAAAGTGTTACCACCTTCTGTTTGTTGAGTTGCTTCCTGGCTCCTAAATAGGATGCTCTGGTAAAAAAAAGAGGAAACTTGGCATTTTTTCTTGAAAAAGTGACCACACATGAGAGATTTCTTTTCTTTTCTCCAATTGACCAATAAGAAATAGGGGTACGGGTGTCTTTTTAAATGGCTACTGGCTTTGACATGCTCAACAGGTCAAATAATGAAACAGAAGAGAGGTTGCATTGCAAGAGAGGCGGAAACCTTCAGGGAATCACTCCTCTTTCTCGGTTATCGTGGGCGGCTTTAAGATTTAGCTGATGTTGCCGGAACTGACGGAAACGTATCAGTCCGGCTCTGAAGCGACAGTAGGGTGTCAGCCGTGATAGCGGTTGGGGGGGGCTCTGTGGTAATCCCTGTGACACGGGGGCCGGGCAGAGGGAGAACAGATTGACAACACATCTGGGGTCGGTAAGTAGGTTGATAGCAGGCGAAGCCAGAGCTCTGCCGGACTGAGTAGATTACCGAGAGAAGCCCGGATCAGACTGAGGAAACAGAGGAGCCGACACAAAGGGACGGGTTTTTTTTCTGCCTTCCTGCTAATACTTAGTTGGTGTTTTTAATGTCAGTTCAACGTTTGGCATTTGCATTACCCTTTAATTTGATAATAATATCCGCAAAGGAATCTGTAAAGGTTTCTTATAAACGGACGTCTGTTTGTCTTACTGTGCATTGGAAATAAAATAAATTAATAATTTAGATATGTGATGTATTACTAAAACGGGGAGAGGTGGATTTCTCCAAACCCCGCCGAAACTTCTTGAGTGTCCTTCAACACATGAGCTTTGATGCCTGGTTAGTCTGGAAACAGAATATTTAATAGAAGACAGACTTCTCCTCTCAGGCGGCTTTTACAAAAGACCAGAACAAGTAAGAGAGAGACCTGCTGTGTTTCCCTCTTACTCAAACAGAGGAGACTTTATGGGTCTACGGACAGACAGACAGACAGACAGACCATCTCCTTTCCTAATAACTTAGGAAAAAAAACAAAAAAAAAACATCAGCATGGTTCAAAATTCACACTTGTGCCACTGTTCTTGTAAATTTCTCTCCCAATGAAACACTGTGTTTTTGCCTTGTGCATATGTCTCTCCTCTTTTTCTCTCTCCCTCTCTCTGCATTCCTGTCCACATGTGTAGAAAAAGAAGAGGAGAGTAAAGTGCATTGCCAATGTAAAAGGCTTTGATATGGCCAGACAGCAGTCCTACTCATATGAATCAGAAGCATGCAGGTGCCTCTTGGGTCTCGTCGGGACTTTGATCTAGATTGAAGAACTATTGGTGTGGCCGTTAGACAGGGACGGTTTATTTTTCGGGGACAGTATTACCTCCTGTTTGAGCATTAATCCAACAAAATCCAGTCTCATTCTCGGAGTGAAAGAACAGAATAAAGTCAGGCGATACCGAAGGTTGTAGGACACAGCGTTGAGATTGAAGATTCGGGCGGTTTGGAGGTGTCCTTCGCTGATCCTGTACGAACTTCACCTCTGCTTCGCCGCGACAACTGCTGAGGGGCTGAAAGTCACACTTCTTCCCTTCCTTCACCTCTTCACCCCAAATCACAAAACCCACCAGTCTCGGAGGGCCGATGGAAACAAATGCGAAGCCGCGTTTAGTCAGTTTTCCCGTATCCCCACAGAGATCTTCTGCCCGCGCTTGAAATCTCAAAACTGGGAATGGTCCATCTCATCCAGCCACGAGGCGGGGCTGGTGGGGAAGTCGGGGTATCCTGTACTGCTTCCCGTGGAGAGGTCTGAGGTCGGGCCCCCCGCCATGGCCCTCAGGGCCTGTCCCACCCCGCCCGGCCCGCCCTGCACCACCAGACCGTCCATGCTGAAGCCCAGGTTGTTGAGCAGAGGGGTGTGGCCGGGCAGGGACGTGATGGAGGAGGGCGACTGTGGGAGGCCGTACGGGCTTCCCGCCCGGATGTCGTGGTAGGGTTGTCCTGCCGCGTCGACGGAGAAGCCGCCGCTCAGCACCGCGCCGCTGCTGATGTCGCCCACGCTCCCGTAGAGCCCGTTGGTGTGGCCGAGATCCGACAGGACCTGGTCGTCTGTGAAGGAGACACCAGCACTTAAGCACGAGGGCTGTAAAGGACTTTGACACACCAACAGTGACAACTGACAACTGCAAGAGCATTATGCAGTTGTTATATTTCAATACCATGAAGTGCTTTTATGGATAGAATATATTATGGCAACATTACGTGGATTTCACAGGTACAGCGAGTGCACGGATAAGTATTAAATAAGCATTTGAGTTTTGTTGGTGACAAAGGAGATGCTTTACTCCTCTAACAACGGATGTCTGTATGCGTGCACAACATATTTGTTTCCATCTCAATCCACTGAGTGGCTTCAATAACAACAATGCCCCAGAGCGCTTTCCCTCTAATTGACTAAAAGCCTCATATGCTTTATAGAGTTTCTGTCACCGTGTTTTCATTTCTCATAAAAAATTCCCTCCTTTTAAAAAGTGTCTCAAAGAGTTTTATTGCCACCCAAAATGGGTTTTGGGAACGTTAAATAACACAGGGACGTCTAAAATGTCGCTCGCATCCCAATAAGGATCCTTTCCCTTTTCCAATAAGCTCCATCACGGCGACAAACGGAGGCAGGAGAATGCTTCGGCTGCCAGAGGGAGGTGTGAGGGGAATGTGGAATGAGAAGTGCTGTTTTGGATTTATCTGACACTGTGCATTGAACAATGCAAGAAAACAAAGGAACTGCCACAAAGACGCATTCGGTCGCGGCGGCACCATATCATTTAGCAGCTTTTAGGCTCCCTTAATCCCATTAGCCCGACAGCACCACTGACAATTTCCTCTCGGGCATCTCTTTTCAAAGCAATAATAGGTATGGACTCGGTTCGTTGAAGTTAAGTACCTCTGAAGCTTAGTTCGCTGTCACTGAGTCCTGCGTCGTCGGCCGAGCTTTCCTTCTCCACTTTAGTTCCTCCTCGGCTGCGTTTGACACTTTTATAAAACTGGGTCCAGCGATGTCGACCTGCATCTTTCTTCAGGCGCTTTTCCTTTGCTCGTCGGTTCTGGAACCACACCTGATGCAAATAATAACAACAATAGATATGTAATTGATAAATGAGAATTGATCTTGGCTTAAAATAACTAAGATGCAAATTCTAATAAACAAAAACATTCTAAATTGTGTGGCAAAAAGCTTCACAGCTTAATATTAAATAGGTATGTAGGAAAAAGTTACAAAATCATAGAAAGAAAGGTTCAAGCAGGGTATAAAATCATAAAGCGAATCATTACAGTAAATATGTTTTACAATTATCAATAAAAATTGTATCAACAGTTATGGTTTCCAGATGTTACTGTGTTGACCAGGTTGGACATAACAAAGCATGTTTTGCAGGAACAGGGAGACCTGCAGCAGTGTGAATGAGAAAGAATTAAAGCCTCCACCTGCACTACTCTCATGTCCAGCCCCGTCTCCGAGGACAGCTGCTCCCTGACGTGGCGTGCTGGCTTCGGCGAGTTTTTGTAGGCACTTTTGAGGGTCTCCAGCTGCTTGGCCGTGATGGTGGTCCTCGGTCGCTTGGTCCCCGCCTCCGAATCGTCTGAAAGCGCCATTACAAGTGTGAGTGACTTTGTCTGGCATTTGTCACGCTGTCACTTAACAGTCAGTGGGCCCTCGACCTGTGCGTGGAATGTATGCGTGTTAAATAAAGTGAACGGTCATGTATGGCGGTGCATCATTGTCCTTGTGCATCCGTCCCGCGCCCACAGCAGAGGACATAAATCCAGCCAAAGTGCCAGAGGAATGGAGTTATTGGAGTCGCACCGTGTAGGGGCATTGCTTCACTCCACATGATCAATCAGAGGCATGAAAAACTCAAAAGAGAGGAAGGCGGAGACAGCACCCACGCCCACTGAGAGCAACATAGATTCACAGCCAGTAGTCATTTCACTGGACACTAGACTCGCTGTATTGATGTAAATGAGACATCATTTTTAAACAAAAATAAAGTCTCAACCTGTATATTTATATTCATTTTGGATGCATGCAGACCTACCGTTTTGTTTTGCCGTCTCATAATCCACCTTGCACACCAGCCTGCCGTCCTCCATGAGGTAAAACTCGTCCCCGGTGGCCAGCTGCCGGCTGCACATGATGCAGGCGAAGCAGTGCAGGTGATACACAAAGTCCTGCGCCTTTCGCACAACCTGCGTCGGAGGGATCCCCTGTTGGCAGGATGCACATTTCGTTCCAAAACGCCTGAAGGAAAACATTAAAGAAGAGGGCCGCCATTAGAACTTTTCATGCAAAACAAACAGCGAGGCCGACTGATAACCTCATCCTATTTATGCCCATTTTACAGGCTGGCGCAGATAGCGAGACCAACGGAGATTAAAATGTCCCACGCCAGATGGATATTTCTTCAACTGCAGCAAAGAATAATGTCACCATGTCTGCATTATCAAAAGCTCCAGCTGTTGTAAAGGGAAAAAAATCCGCACTGGAATGCATTTCACTTAACGATAGACCTGTCCGCAGGTTGATGGATGGAGAGGATCAATGCACTGTGTTGTGTGTGGAAGCCTGTGTGTGTGTGTGTGCGTATGTGTGTGTTTGTGTGCATGTTTGCATCATTATGTGTTTGCAGATGAAGAGCTGAGGAGGAGGAGGAGGAGGAGGAGGGGTGCTCACAGTAAACACACCCTGAGGAGAACCAATAAAATATTGACTGAAGAGAGGCTTTATATCACACAACCAATCCGCAGGGGGGGGGACACAAGGTGAACCCTCCACATCACTTCTGGGAAACTGTGTGTCTAAATGTGTGTGTGTGTGTGTGTGTGTGTGTGTGTATTCCTGTGTTTATGTATGCATGTGCTCACACACGTGTCCCAGTGCAGAACATATAGCCCCTGCTCTCCCCTGGGGTCGGCTAACACGGTTAGTCCTTAGTGAAGACTCCAGAGCTCTTTAGGTCTCATTCAAGCTTTGAGCATTAAAACCTTTCAAACACGATTTAGTAAAAAGCCCCGATCTGCTGATCCTGTTTTGGATAAAAGTCAAACTCAATTTTCCTCCGTAATGCCTGAGAAATCAAATCGTTTGAAAGACAGCAAGGGAAAGGAAAGGGGGAAATGGCAACAATATAGTAAGAGAAAAATAAATCGTGAGCCCTTGTTTTGAAAGGCTGCTTCCTCTCTTCATAACAGCAGGGAAATACAGCAAATTATGATGGTTAACTATGAATATTATGAATACCGTCATTTGGATTCTGAAATAAATCAACAAATGTAATACTGCATGTTTTTTACAAACTTATATTAAAAATAAACAAAAGTGGTATTATTCAAGAAAACCATTAAAAATATTATTACCATGATAAAATGTTTTTCTTCATGAATAAAACACTGGATTTATCCTATTGTGCTAATAGCAAATTTAAAACAAGGAAACGTTAAGATAAACTTCAAATTTAAGCCGATTTAAGCCAATGTCCTTCGCTTTTCATCCCAGAATGTTTGTTTTGTAAATACCGCCTGAAATATTCAAAGATGTATTTGTGCCAGTCACTTTTATTCCCCATCACTGGGGGGAATGTGGCCAGAATCCCTGCGGGGATAATAATACCTGCGGGGTAAAAAACAAACAAAAAAGCTGCAAAAAAAACAGATACACAACGTCATCACTGAAGGCAAATAAATAAGGAACTGACTTGAAGAAATCCTCCTTGCAGTAGACGCTTCCTGCCCGGGAGAAACATTTGTCCGCCAGCGGGGTCTGACAGTCGGCGCACTTGAGGCACTTGGAGTGCCAGTGTCGGTCCAGCACCTTCAGGATGAACTTGTCCAGGATGTGTTGACTACAGCCGGCGCACTGAGGGATCTCTGCGGGGGGGAAACGGGAGGTCATATTCACGCGCGGGCACACAGGGGGGCAATCCATAGAAATAAATGTTTTAATCTACAAGCAGAGCAGTTAGGTTCTTATACTATTATGAATAATATAATATAGCATAAATGATGGAATTCAATATGTATTTTCGAAAGCTTCTGTAAGTCCAGAATATTAATTATAATATATTATTATTATAATAACACAATATTTGGTAATTGTATTATTGACCCAGTTTTGTTTCTCTTGTTTTCTTATTTTAAACTTTTTTTTAAATCATATTTGGGAAGTAAAAAAACTGAAGCGCTTTGTGAAATGTGTCCGTCACTGTCTACGGTGCTGAAATGAGTGTTTCGCGTGTTTCGCGGCCGTGACAGATGACAGACTTCATACAATCATGTTGATTTGTATTAATTGTATGAATTATCCTCTGTCGCCTGATCATGTCTCGAGTCAACTACGGTGGCAAACGAGGGTCAAGACGAGGTTCGCCTGATAAAAACACGGCGAATTCTGCAGCGGTGTCATGATCTACTTAAAGAAATTGCATATTTCAAAGATTAAACTGCAATCATGACTCAATCACAGTAAAATGTTTATTTAGTAACAAAATGTTCCTCTTTTAAACAACTAAATGCCATGGTATGTTGCACATGGAACTGGTTTATTTTGTGGGAGTGAACTTGTGTACCAAATCACAATACATTATCCATTTATTATTTTATAGTGAGTCAATCTAAGATGTATTATGCGAAAAAGACTTCGTCCCAACAAAAAACAACCTTTAAGCTTCTTAAATCATTGTGTAAATAAACAGCTGAGCAATTCTTTCATGTTTTTTCTTTTTTTTCGGTATTTAGTCAGGCATCCATTTAATATCCGATAATTAAAAATCAATATCGAGGAGAAATGCACCGAATAAACAAACACACCAAACGAGCTGCGGCAGCGAGGCTGGTTCACAATGGAGACAAAATACCCTCTAACCTTTGAAAGCTAAGATGCCATAAGCTTAAATCTCAGTACAGCACAAATCGGGCAGGAAAAAACAAAAACAAAGCTATCAGGTTGTGCAACACGAAGGGAAAAAAATAATCTTTCAATAATATTTTGGTGTGACAAGGAAATGCGTTTAAATGTAGATCGGCGAAAATAACAGATACATATTGTTGATGATATTTTAATAAGCAGGAAATCATCTATAACGTTCGAATTGCATTGGATAAAACCACAGAATAGCAATGCTCTCAGAAAATTATATAGAGCAACATTCACAGGCTTTATTTCACCTCGATAGTCAGATAATTCGTTTGGGATGGTGGGGAAATTATTTAGGACGAATTCCACGTATCCACAATTTGGTTTAACACATAAGGAGAAATTAGAGGCATTTTGAACATCTGGAGATAAGTGGTGAGTGGATGAAGTTGAGTGGGGCCGAGAGAAGTGGTGCTGAAAGGAAAGCAGCACGATCTTGGCAACGACACCGTCCAGCTTCAGAGTGTGTGTGTGTGTGTGTGTGTGTGTGTGTGTGTGTGTGTGTGTGTGTGTGTGTGTGTGTGTGTGTCTGTTAGAGAGAGAGAGAGAGAGAGAGAGAGCACCAAGAAGTCTTATCTGTTGTTACCACTCTCCACTATTTAAATTAATTTTACAATTCATTCTCAGCACATTTTCAGAGATGTACAATAGCCCAAGATTTTTGTCTCTTAAAATATATAAATAAAATCTGGCAGCCTCTCCTACGATTTTTGGTAATTAAACGTGAAATAAACACTTTATCTGAGACTAAGAGCATGAGCTTAAGGTTTGGGTACAATTGCCTTGAGTCAGCAGAGCATCCACGATATAAAATAAATGTTTAGGTTTGCTGTTGCTTATATTCCTGGAATAATCCAGGTTTAAACCCAGAATGCATGCTGGTACTGAGGGGGGCTGAGTAGCAGGATTTTTATCCAATCTTTTAATCTGCATCGATTTATAAAATTAAAGAGCATAAGCCGACCCCATATAGTCCCTTTTTTTTACTGGGCGAAGGGTAAAGAAATTCAGTGGCGCGCGGGGGTTTTAAAAGTGCTTTGAAGGTTTTTTCTGCTCTAACATTTAAAATGGTATATTCTGTCTGTGTATGTCAGTCTCCCTCTGTGTGTGTGTGTGTGTATGTGGCGGGGGAAGGGGAGGGGGGGGGGGGTAAACTAAAGATAATAAGAAAATAATAGGATATGTCATTTTTGGTTATCTGTGTGTTATCACAAATATTTACAGCAGAAACATTTTCGACCAAATGTTTTATCAGTCTTTCGAAACTAAGGAGCGGTCCAATAATTATCCCACTTTGTTTTTTGGACTTAACCTGGAGAATATAAATGTTCATCTGTACATTTCAATAACTCGCAATAAATAATTGCAGACATGTATCTGATTGCACGATCAGATACTAGTCGTTTTGAGGCAAGTTAACAGGTTAAGGTAAATTAAGGTAATAGGTGTATTAGGTGCTGGAAGGATAAACACAATAAGATGCGGAAAAATAATTGTAATTTATTCGGGTCCCATCCCAAATAAAAAATGACACAAATACGATACATGTGTCGGTCGTGCTTCAAAGACAAACGACTAAATTTTTTCACCCAGTAATGAGTGTCAATCAAAGTCAGTGTGTATTCGTTTGACGGGCGATGACAACCGCGTCTGATCTCTTGACCACGCAGTCTCGTTTACAAATTAACAGCTGCCCGGAGGGGGGGGGGCTCAGCGGGGAGCCCGACGACCTGACGCGGGACAGGCCAAAGTTTAAGGCCAAGCTGGAAAATAAAATACTGTTGCTTTAAATAACAGAAAGTCTCTTCCATCCTCCCCCTCATAGCCCCCGTAAAGATGGGATAAAAACACCGAAATGACATCGTGTGCTTCCTACATGGCGGACTGCACAGTCCAGTGAGGCCGCGGAGAGGACTCGGACATGCCGTTGCTTATCAAGGCCAATAATGTATATTATCCGAGACTCGCATGCTGGAATATAAGCAGCATGACACATCACTGGCCCGTACGTGACCACCCGAGACAGAGAGGTTACCGGTGATGAAACCCGCGACACGAGTTGCCCTCGGCAACCGTTTTCTCCCCCCCCCGGAACGATAACCGAGGAAGGTAACGAATGCATGCAAAATGGTCTTACGTTGCAGTGGCACTCCGAGAATCTCCGGTAAACTCTTCACAGGACTCTCTGTCGGTAGGACCGCCGCACTTTGCATCATCGTGATCCAAACCGGGGAGACAAACGAACGCGCATACACCCGCAACACGGTGGGCGCACTCTGTCCCCCTGTCCGGTCTTCTGGAGGAAAAAATAAAGTATGCTGGTGCTGATGTCGAGGCCTCTCGCTCTCTCTCTCTCTCTCTCGCGCGCGCGCGCTGAAAGGTGAGCTCTGCCCGCTGTCCCAACAAGCCTCTATCCTTATCCCCGCGGGAGGATGTCCGTGCCGTGCCGTGCCGTGCCGAGCTGTTTTTTGGAGTGAATCAGACAGGCTGCTCGCTCCGTTCAGCGCTGCAGGGGCGGCGGGGTCTGACGTCACCACGGCAGAGGCTCAACCGGGGGGCCAATGGGAGCGCAGGAAGAGGAGGCCCCCGGGGGCGGAAAGCGTCCTCCATAGGTGTACCGGCGAGGAGGAGAAAGGAGAAGGGGAGAGGAGGAGAGGCGTCTGACATGCCGTAATATGAAAATGTCTCACGAGAGGCGGGACCTTGCTGTTGAGGAGACCATAAATAGCTCACTGCAGTGGCTCCTGGAGGGGCCCCGGGCCAGCTGGGCTCATTCTGGGGAGGGAGAAAGAAGCGGTAATGCAGCCAGCAGTATGAGGGATAGTTCACTTTTTATTTGAGGAACTAAAAATAAGACACTTATATAAAGAAATGGTGAGAGTGGTTGTTGCAGATTAATCCACGGCGAGAAAGTCTTAAATATAGGATTGTGAGAATACAACTATTAATACCCCCCCCCCCTCACAGATCCATATGGGTTCACCTTATCCATCGTAATAATACCAGTTGAATGATCGGAGTGGTCAGTGACAGCTACACGGGGGCAAAAGTGAAGCCACGTGACGTAAGGGACGACATCGCACGTCTGAATCCGATTCCCAAGCACCTTGACCTGCCCGATCAGCCCCCCCCCAACCCCCAACCCCCGCCCGTGCAGTGTGGCCACGCGGCTGGATGTCTGTCAGTGACAGGTGGGATTAGGAGTCCGCGCGCAGTCCTCCTGACACTGTGCATTTCAAACCCCCGTCGTCTAAGACTGCTCTCGCGGAGGAGATATTCCCCCCGGAGGCCTGCTGGTTCAGGCTAGATGAACTCGATCTTCGCTTCCAATTTGCTTCAAGGCGTGGAAAGAAAAGCCGCCGGTCCGCCAGGTTGTTTCCACCAGCGGTCAGCTGACCGACCGTCTGTCTGTCTGCAGGTGAACGTTTGCAGCGAACACCGCATCTTGCACGGACACATCTGGATGGAGGCTTTATTGCAACGGCACAGCTGCGTTGATTTAGACAAGTTCACGTTTCATGTTAATTCGATTGTATTCGGTTTAATCTTAATTCTCGTCACTTTAAATGCTGTCGCTATTAGTGTATCAATTACACACAAAAAACATTGATAAACAGAGGTTATGCTGTCAACCTCGGAACATTTTATTCAGAAAATGGTTTCTGTGGTGGAAGAAAATATTTCCACCAATTATTAGCCATATTGAATATATATATATATATATATTCTGCATTCTGATAATAAATTACATTTCAATTTAAACGAGTAACATTTTCTTTGTGACGTTACGCAGATGGATCCTCCCATGTTTTCTCTTATACGGACTATTTATTCTATTGTCGCACGTCGTTTATTAAAGGGAACCGCAATCCCATAAGCCGTTCGCGTGTGCGGTTAATGTTCCAAATGTAATTTAATGAAATGAAAATGCACATCAAGCTGATTAAAAACGAAGCTGGGATATTACGGGAATTTTATCCAACCTATTCAAGGCTTATATGTGGTCTCTTATTCCAGGTGTCCCCTCCACCCATCTACCATAACGTGCATGTGTGGCTAAGAAGTCACGTGGTCTTACTGTATTTGCACTATACACTTTTCCCCTCAAGATCATTAAATGTATTCAACTATTCAATTACTGTGATTGTTGGTCTCGGGTCCCCGTGGCTGCGCTGGAAAACAATGCAGATAAAAATGCTCTTAACCTGTCAGCAAAGGGCAACACAATTAGAATAATTGACGGATGCAAAATGCTGAAAGAGAAAAGATGTGAGCGCGCACATCTGCTTTAGTGGGACACTATGGCGTTTTTTTTTATTATTAAATGAGAGGGTTAAAAAAACACATCGTAAAGCAATGCACATCTAAACGTGGTTTCAAGGCATATTTCTGCTAAACTAGATGCCAGCAGTTATTCAAAGGGGAAGTTATATATTAAGAAGTAGACTGCAAAATATATATTTATAATATTAAACAATAATTCCAAATGTTTACTTCTAGTCCCTCACAGAAAAATCTAATTCAGCATATGCCCAGTCAGTTTGATCACAAAACAATGCACTCAAACAAAATGCAGGAAAAGCAGAAAATAATGATGGAATCATTGAAATGATGCACTTTGTGAAGTGTGTGCAATGGCTGCTACTGTAGGAGGGATAAAAGAGGAAGCAGATACCGGGCAATAATTCACGCAGAGGGCGAATCCTTTGCCACTGGCGTTGACCCAGCAACCTCTAATTAGATCTAATATTTCAGTGGACGAGTTCATTGACATCTGAGACTCTCAGATCCATTTTGCTGAGCAGGGAGTCACGACACGTTCTGTCCGGAGGAGCAGGCGTGTTGTGACACAGATGCGTGTCAACCTGTAACTGTGCGGCATAGGCAGGCCTATAGTTTATATAGCAAAAACAAAAGAATCACATACACTTAATTTAATTAACTATATTTTCCTATCTGTGCAAATTGATGATTCATGCATTAATCCGTTAATATCATTTCCAAATTCTGCCATTTGCAGACCACACCAAGATAACCAAATATTAACTGACAAATTAGAGACAACGTCGCTGCTTCGCTACATTCAATCCGTGTGCAAAACAGCACTTCCCCGTAACCATGGTGATCGATAAAAACATTGCATGTTCAGGGAACATGCTTGCAAGATGAACAAATAACCCCACCGTGCAGACCTACCTAATCACCGCAGCTTGCCGGTGATTCTGGCACAGACTCCTCTTCCTCCGCCTCCTCTTCCTCCTCCTCCTCCTCCTCTTCTCCTCCTCCTCTTCTCCTCCATGCTCCTGCAGGGTTGCTCTCTGCAGCACGAGCGGAAGAGAACCGGCAGCAGTCAGTCAACCAACAATCTCTCCGGCATCCACTGACAAAACAACATTAGGTAGCGATGGCACCGTGTCCCTCACCATTTGGTCTGCAAGCAGGAGAGGAACAGAGGGGGGGGGCAGAAAACGAGGGGGGAAACCTTAGGAGAGAGCAGAGGAGAAAATTAAATTGCACTTGGGAGGCAAATTCTATTAGGGAATAGTTATTGTCTCCTGACAGCTCCTGTCCATTTGGGTAATTAGAAGAAGGGATTGGTTGAACAAAAGAAATCTATTCCTTTCAGAAATGATATTTTCCAATTACCTGATTGAACCTGACCCTGTCGTACTAAGACGAGGTGGTAATGGGCTCGTTTGACTAGAAACTTGTGCAGCGGTCCGGCCAAGCACGCCCGAGGAGAAGCTTGATCGAGGGTTTCAAAGGAACCTGAGAGGTGTATTTTATACCTTTTATTGCACAACAGCAAGGCTGACAGAGGCTCAACTTTCAATTGTCATCGCTATTATCACCGGGCATATTAGTACTAGAACAAATAGAGATATTACAGGTGAATCACAGGACTAATCATACCTTCTCTCCACTTGGCACCAGACCAAAGTGCAACCCATGCCTGTAACCCAGGTCTGCAAAGCAAATGAATGGAACTACAAAAAACTTTGCATGCAGAGTATTGATAATGACTTTTTCCTTTGAGAGACAGAAATGTTGTGGCGCCTATCAATCTGAATCCCTGGAAGCGATCGTGTGATTTATTAATGTGCAACATGAATGAACACCCAGAAACATATATAGTTCAATCTGTTTTAAAATAAGCAAACATGCTCATGCTTGTGTTTTTGTCTGTGGCTCCTCTTCTCACGTAAGGGGTCTGATCATCTCCCAAAAGGAAACCTTCATTTCAAACCTTCATCAAGAGCACATCTAATAAAGTTTTCATTACAATTCTCAGAGGACCGACCACGACACGACATACATCTCAATAAAACCTGTCTGCCAAGTCATCTTTGTCACCTTTATTTAAATGAAAGGAAATTAATTCACGCAACTTCGGTGCTGGTAAGCGATTACATGCCGCGGACCATGTGACCCGATGACACTAACAAAGAACATCTAAAACAAAAAAAGTTCACTTGTGGAAAGCAACACTCAAGAGTCAGCTGAGTGGACTAAAACAACGTGGCTGACAAGGGTTGGATCTCCTCCCTGTAAGCTACATGCTACCTGTGGAGGAGGGAGGGTGAGATTAGAGCATAGAAACACAAGAAACTGAAGTGGAGGGAAGACATAAAGGTCAGATTTGTGTAAAATAGCACAGTTGGCCGTATTATCAAGTCCTAAATGCAGCACAGGACGGCTATTGACCCTCCCTCCCTTGTCCACACTTCTTCACTATCTGTTGAGCACAGGAGGACTTCCAACTCTCTGCCGTAGTGACAGTCTGGTTGGTCCAGGAGGGGGGGGGGGGGGCGGTTGTTTAAGGAGAGCAGATGAGCGACCACATGGAAGGGGGAGGGGAACGCTGCAGTAAAGTGAGATGGATCTGACCCTACTTGACTCCTGCTTTTTAAAGGCTGAATGTTCAAACTGAAAGGGGTTCTGGCTTAGTTTGGATGTGATATATACCAATACCATATATTAACCTCTTTTTCATCATTTATTCAGCCCCCCCCCTCCACACACAGCTCGCCTTCCTTCTCTCTTTATGGTATTATTAAAGTCAGAAAGAGAGATGACAGAAAAATGCATCAGGCCCCTCCTGCATTTTAATATCAATACTAGAGGGGTAATAAACAGCTACAGGAGAGGAGCGACTATAAAACCGTACATTGTCTAATTTATGGAAGACAACAACGGGGCAGCAGGGTGAGGTTTTTACCCTCCAGTCTGTGCTTCTACAACACAACGGTTGTTTTGCAGTAAACAAAAACACCAAATATTGTCCATATTGTTAGATGGAACTTGCTTAGTGGTGTCGGAACTGTTAATTTTTAAGTACTTTAAAGGACTTTCTGTAGACTTAAAGTTTAATGTTAGAAACAATGTTGTGTTTATTGAAGCCGTTTTGGACTTCTTTCTGCAGTCACGTCACTGCAAACCAGCTAAGCATTGTGCTTGATGTCCGAGTCAAATGTGTTGCTGATACAGTATTGCTAAGCCTCTAATTGCTGGTGGGAGAACTGTTTGACTGCTTTTAGTTTGGGGGCATCCTTTTTATTTTGTAATGAATCACTGTGGTGCTTCATTTACATAATTCTGCTCCAACTCTATTTATCTTTCTGGCATGAATTAGTATTTTCTACTAATTTGTACCTCATTAATACCTTCGGCATAACTTTGTTTGTGGTGTCTCGTCTCATTGATTTGTAAGCCCTATAAAATAAGTTTAATATGATGGATTAAGTATATTTATCTAACTAAAGTTTTCCAATTTTTACAGATAAAGGCTGAAGTCGGACAGATAAAGAGCACGAGCAGCTCCGAACGTGTCCTGATTTAGATTCGAAGCGTCTGTCCTCAGTGTGAACTGCTCACCTCGGCCTTGGCAAAGCTGCAGACAGATATTACAATGCTGCCAACTTCCTCATTAACCATCATTAGTCTGAGGCAGCACAACACTTTCAGCTCACCGGGGCTCAAGGAACCTGATAAAGCGCTTCTGTGGAGTGAGCGGCACCGAGCATCGCTGACTCCAATCCTATAAAACAAGTACAGGTAAACATGGAAGCAGATTAACAGGTCAGATGTCCAAAGGTAAAGGAAAGGTGCTTAAAGGAAAAGACAAGTTGTTAATGTTTTGCATTATCTTCCAGATTCCAATCTTTGGTTCAAACTCAAATCAAAGACAAACCAAAATAAATGCAAATCCGATTCAACAACACCAATACTTACAAAATCCCTTAAATGTTTGAGAAGGACATGTACTTCCTCCTTTAGTTTGACAGTATCACCAAGTAAAAAAAGACAGCAACATGGAATAAAAATACATTAATAAATAACATGCGTATGGTCCATCTGACAAATTGTGCTTTTCTCAATCCATCCCGGACCACCATAATGTGTCATTGAGCATTAAGTATCTCAGAGTTTGATTTAGTCACGCAACAACAGCTGCTCAGCCTTGACACTCCTCTGCCTTAATAAAGGGCCATTAATCAACCTATTCTGTGTGTGTGTGTGGTGTCAGGTGTGGGTTGTTGCGAGGAATCGACTGCTTTAACTCAACTAATTCAATTTACCCTCAATCCCTGTCGTGCTACTGTTGCTGAAAAGGTGGTTTGGACGAAGAGATGGAGCTGCGTTTTGGATCCGTGTGTGTGTGTCAGGTTGGGGTGAAGGTAAGGGTCAAGAGTCAAGGGAATTCAAGCCAATGTTCTAGGAAACACAAAGCTCAAGATCAAGCATCGCTCGTCCTTCAGATGGGCTTGTTGTAATCCGGACGACATCAAAACTAGTCTTTGTTTCATTTATCCCGCACACATGCGCACAGACACACACACACACACTGCTCCCGCTTTCATCCACCTCACCCGACCATCTCACCCACGTGCGTCTGCTGCCGCCGCTGGCCGCCCCCCCGCGGAGCTCACCTCCAAGTGTGTGAGGGAAGAAGCCCCATGAAAGCCGATTGCGTTTTAATAAAGTTTATTATCTGCATGGAGCTAATCCTCAAGGGTAATCTCTCCCCTCTAGTCCTAAAGGAAAGCTGGATTACTCACTTGCTATAATCCCAATGAAATTGTTAGGATTTAGTTTGCGCTGCACAGCAGATGGCAACAGGCTTTTTCCTTCAACCTTGGATGCTTTAAACCCCCCCGCCTCCATTTCTACATGCAACACCCCGGTCCTCCTTGTCTCGTGTCCTGGTCGTCTTGGTAAAAACAACAAAAACAACAAACAGAAAGTTGTTTTTGCCAAACCTGTAAAGGAATAATCTCAAAACATCTCCAGTCCATACTGACCGGATTCACCCAGTCTCTCTGATTTCATATTACTTGGTAAAAAGAAAGTGATGTGATGAGCTGTTAAATTGACTGGTTGTATCAAAAGCAATGAGTCATTATCAAAAATAAATTTTATTGATTGAGACAAAAGCAAAGAAGCGAACAGAACAACACAAGTGTTTTTTGAGATGAGAAGCCGAGGCTTTACGTCATAGACAAATCCCGCTTATTCTAAAACCTCCTCCAGTGTGAACATATGCGCCGCCCGCTGCACAACACTTCATAAACAAGCAGCGTAGCTGTTGTGTGGCAGCGTGATGTAAGACTCAAAGTGAATGTGAAGTAACACTGCGTGTGATGGACAGTAAACCACCAACCAAAGGAGCTGAACAACAAAAGGCTGGTCTGCTCTTCTCTGGAGAAAGTTAAGTGTGGATGTGCTGGTCCAGTCACAGTATTCAGCTAAATGATCCAACTGTCAAACCCACAACGCATCCTGGGACTGAGTTGTCTGAGTATTAAAAGAAATGCAGTAACATTTGATTTAGTATTGATGCATTGAATTAAACAGAAATATGTCAATTGTTGATTAAGGGAAAGGAGTTGATCTGTTATTAAAGCACAATTGCTTTTTTTGTTTGTTCATTGAAGCACAATCAAGTAGCATTTTATTCAAATAATTCGGATATTAAAAAATTATACATCATAATCATATAATTATATATATTTGTGTCATAATAGACAGAAGTAGGTGTTGGCCTAATTAAGAGATATAAAATTAAAAAAAATCACACTGCTACAAATGAACAAAACCTAGTAAAATAAATTCATTAGTTGCAGTCACTCCATAAAAAATTAGTTTAAAAAAAAAAATAATCTCATACTGGTTTGCTCTTTATAAGAAGTCAAACAAAACAAATCTAAATTGTGATCTTAATTCAAAAACAGCAACCCACTTATGGAAATATGCATCTACATTCACATATTGTCCATAGTTAAGCTTCTGTCTGAAAAGAACATTAAATGAATAATTAAATAAGCAAACCCGATATAGAAATGCAGCTAATTTTCCCTTTCCCCTACACTCTGTTTAGACAGAACACATCCAGGACATTCAGCTGGAGGTAACAGTTAAGTGGACCGTCTAACATCGCCCTAATCTTGACACATCCCCTTACAGTCACCCCACCCGTAGCCTGCACAAACCTAATGAACGTTAATCATTGCCGACTCATCTGGAAATTGGATACCTTTTTGTTCAAGGTAGAGCTACTTTGCCTCTCCGTAGCCTGAGGCGGTTCTTGAAGAAAAGATACATGGCCAGAAGACACGTGAAGGAGAGGAAATAAAGGACGACACACAGGCTGATGTCCACTTTGGAAAACCCGATGCTCAGCACAGACACCCACCGCGCCAACTCGGCCTCCTCCACAAAGCGCTGGCCGCTCAGTTCTCGGTTCTGTAGCCGCTTCCTCTGCTGCCCGAGCTCCAGCTCAAAGTCAGCTTCCAGCGGCTGCAGGCCCACCATCCCGAGCCCGGCGTCCAGATCCGAGCCGAGTCCGAACACGGGCCCCGGGTCCCGCTCCTCCTTCCTCTGCAGGCTGCGCTGTTTGACCCGGGTGGCGGCGACGCCCTGCAGCGCCTTGGCCTTGTAGTTCTGGTAGACGAATGAGTCGAGGTCCACGATGTCCTCCTGCAGCTCCGGCATCCTCAGGCCCACGATTCTGGGCTTCCTGCGGGCCTGCCGCCGGCCTTGGTCCACCTCCACCTGGGGTTTGCCCCAGGGGTTCGTGTCCGACTTCTTACGCTCCATCTCATCCGCCGCGGCCCTTTCCCCACCTTGCTCCTCCTCGTCCCGCGGCCCCTCTTCCTCCTCCTCCTCCTCTTCTTCTTCCTCCTCCTCCTCCTCCTCGTCCTGCACAGTGGATTGCGATGGCAGAGGGTGCATCATGGAGTCTGAGGCCTCCCTGGCTTTCCTCTCCACACGTTGCTGAGATAATAAAGCATGTTTTTCCCTCTGTTTTGCCAGGATCTGGTTTTCATCCTCGAGGTGGTCTGACAAGACGAGGAAAAAGACGAGTAGACATCATTTCCAAAGCCATCACCTCTAATCTACAATCCAATGGTCTACTCATTATCCTCAATTAGTCTGGATAAACCTCACTCCGACTCAGGAACTCCCTCTTTGCTATTTACTCGTTACACTAGAAAACAGTAATAGTATATTGCAGTATTGAACTCCTTCAATTTCATGGAATTGGGCAAACTCAAAAACGTCATTAAACCCCTAAAAATGAGTAAAACATACCGTACAAAACATGTGTGGTTAAGAGTGACCGTGGGGTTATGGAGGCTCTTTCCATGTGTTCTAATGGCTGATAAATGAGAATCTTTAACGACAGATACTTTTGCATTATTTCAAAAAAGAGCAAGAACTGAATCAAGGACCGTATTTGTATTTTTAGCAGAAGCAGGTTGACGGAAGAAATAAACACTGTATTTTGGCTAAATACTTTCATTTCAATTCATGAGGTCTGAGCTCTTCAGAAAACAAACCCATACCTGCGAGGATACTGCTGGATGAGAAGTAGGACATGAGGAAGGGAAGAACCTGCGGCTGGCTCCACCTGTGCTCCCCGTTGTCCTTCACAGAATGGCAGCCTGGACACATCTCGGGCGAAGGCCACTGGACCTTTGGGAAGTTGGGGTCTTCACTCAAAGCACCTGCAGAGACAAACTCAGAAGTAAAGTTGTTGCTTTCCACCACAGATAATATTAGGCGTTGCTTTTTATACTTGCGATACACAAGAACATTGGCCGCTTATATTCTAAAGTGCGTTTCTGAACGCAGCAGTTCAACACTGCACTACATTAAGAGACAAATACATCGTCACCCTATAGAAGGTTATATACTAAGCCTGAAAAAATCCCATGGATTCAAATTCATTCTCATACAGGAAGCACGCAACATAAAGCATCCAGTCAGCAGCCTTCATCCATTGTTGTTTCTTTGATTCTCCTTGTTGGTGCATTGACTCGAGGATGTAAGTGCTTTGAGGACTGGATGCAATCTACGGTGAACCCATTTGATCTTGTCACAGAGCTCGTAAAAACTAAGTGCCCATATGCATATGTGTATGTATGTGTTTAAGTGTGTATATGTAAATCATCTGTCTGAGTTTTTGTGGGCACGTAATCTGAGGATTGATATGTGTGTGTGTGTGTGTGTTTGTGAGAGTGTATGACAGGGTCTAACAAATGATCAATGGGCTTCTGGGATGTCCCAGTGGGAGGGGTGGTGAGATAATAGATGTGGCCAAAGTGGACAGCTTCACCACAGACAAACACACACACACAGACACACACGCACACACACACACACACACACACACAATCCCTGTTTGCAGGCAGCAGACCTTGGTGCTCTGGACCACCTGTCTCGTCCCTTCACACCCCTTTGAAAGCAAAGTCCAATCTCCAAATTGAACAAGAGAGCAGCACAAACCTCAGAGGGGAGCTGCCCTTTTAATGAATTAGAAACTTTCTCCTTAACATGTTTTCTTTCATGTAGCCGCTGCCCACTCATCGTCACTCACACACACTTTGTATGTGTGTGCATGCGTGTGTTTGTGTGTGTGAAGGGAAAAAAGGGGAGCAGCAGCAGCTCTGTCACTTTACAGCACTGTCAATTTACATCCTCCACCACCTCCGTCCCTGCTCCCTCCTCCGTCTCTCTGCCGCTCATGATTAATCTCAGTCATATGCATGTGTGTACGAACTCTGCATACAGTACTTTACATAAAGGATTCATCAATTTTACTGTGTCCCGGATTGGCTGCGTGTGTGTGTGTGTCCGGGAGGGGGGCTTTTATACATCTCAGCAGGTGAGAGCAGACGCATGCCCACTCTCAAGCGCGCACACGCACGCACACACACAAGCGCGCACACGCACACACACACACACACACACACCTCAGATCTCTTTCCGTATTCTAATCAGCTTGCCACGTTTGCGGCAGGGTGACTTTAGCCATACCCGCCATATTGAGATTGCCACAATGGCCTGTCACGGCGATGTCATCACCACCGCGCATACATATTCATCAGGTATAAATATGTATTGTTCAGCACGTCAAACTAGCTTCCTCAGCACTAATTCTCTAAGTGAGGATCACCTACATGCCGAGCCATCAGGCCGCTGGGTAGTGTGCAGGATGTCAGGGTTTTTATGCTCATTTAAATAATTGACAAAATCTAAACTACTATAATCTAAAGCTGTTTATTCGGTTAAGATCCTAAAACTAACAAAAAGGAGACCCATGCTTAAACAACGACGGAGATTTCAAGGATGACGCAATCCAGTCCGAGAAGTCCTTCCACTCTCGGAAAAGGAGTTTATTGACACAATATACAATAATGAAACTTTCCCTCGTAAATGTTAAAAAAGTCCAGAACAGAACATAAAAGGAACAGATTGCCCTCTTGAAACACGACATTGAGATCATTCAGACTCGGTGAGTATAAATGATGTACCACCCTCTCTCATTTACAGGGAACCTTTCCCAGCTGTTGAAATGACCGATTCTGACGTGTGCCTTTCATGCCCGACTCAACCTGTACCATGGTTGGTCTTACACTCAATACTAACTGAGACTATGATGAAGAATGTTATATGGAATGGAAACTCATTTACAGTTATTGCTCATAGGGACACATTGCAGAGGATACCTGGTCTGAGAAAGGCACTAACGCTGTGCTATGTACTCTCAGCCCTGAAGGCAGCTCGGCCTGCTGCTGTTTAGTCTGCAGAAATGTGATTCAGCCTGTTGACAAGCAGCAACAGGACTGAGCTGCCGCTGGTCTTAATTCTGCTGCCGCGAGGAGACCGAGGGCCCTGGGGCCTCTTTGTTGCCAGCTAAATTAATTGTTCGGACGCTTTACAAATAGCTGCTCTTTCATGCACGGCTGCTCCTGAAAGGAGGGGCGGGGGGGGGGAGCCTGCTAAAGAGCTCCACTTTAGGCAAAGGGGAGAGGAGGGGTTGAGTGGATGGAGGCTTGGAGTGTGCTCCCCTCAGGGAGACGCCGGCGCTTATTGCTACAAACACAGCCGAACCCCCGTCTCCTCCCTCCCGCTCTCCTTCCGATTCACCCGATTCATTCCCTGTGGACCCCCTGACTCGCCCTCCGCCGTGACTAACGCCCGCCGCCACACGCCACAACTTGACCCATGCATGGAAAGGCTGCGCGTGTGTTTTGTGTGTGTGTGTGTGTGTGTGTGTGTGGGGGAGCTTGGGAGGGGGAGGAAAGAAGTGGGGAGCGTGTGTGTGTGGCTTGTGTCATTGCGTTTGCCACCTGCTGTCACACAATACCTTGGGAATTGTGTGTGTGTGTGTGCCTGCGTGGGTGGGTGGGTATAACGGGGGGCTGGTTCCTGGGGGACCCATCCTGCGAGGATGCTGTGCCATTACTTGTCAAGCGGTGGATACGAGTCCCACGGGATGACGAGTGGAAAGAGAGAAAGGCCACAACAGAGACGGAGGAATGGAGGGAAGACGGATGGGTGAAGGCGGCGGGTCGAGTAGTGTTTAAGTGTCTGGGGAGCAGACACCCGCGGGGACGAGAGTCATTCTGGCCCCTGCTGTTCAGGACACAAGCTGTGCCTTAGATAGAAGAGGGGGGCAGTCCACACAAACAAAAGACAGTGATTTAACAAAGTGGGCTGTTAATGACAGCCCGGTGCCTAATAAAATCATATGAACACCGACAAGGGAGGAGGAATGCTAACAGCTGTTAGCATTCCAGCTGTAACACTCACGAGGCTGTTGTGCAGAAGTGCAATATGCCGATTCAGCACGGCCAAAGATTCGAGAAACTCGTAAAACCTTGTAGATTCATATGCGGGACAAGAATGGACGAGATGCTAAAACCTCCTTTTTGTCTAAAGCAAATGAAAAGTTAATAAGTGGGCATTATGCCACATTGGAATATCTGACCTGGATGGAGATTCATACCCACGGACTCCGGGTGACAGTGGGAGGACAGCGGGGTGTGGGAGAGAACCAAAGTAAGGGTGTGAGGAGGATGAAACACGGCAGAGGAGGTGGGGGGAGAGCAGGAGAAAATGGATGAGGCCGAAGCAGATGACACTTGGGGGTCTAAGACGGGGTGACAGCTGGTGTCTGATCTGAGGATCCATCCTTCCTCCTCCCCTCACCCCTCTTAGTCGCATTACAAAAGACAGACTGACCATTAGAGGAAACTGGACTTCAGAATCTTCCCCCAAAATTTAGTAAGGATAAATAAAGATACTCTAATACTTGCTTGAAACTTTCCTTTCGTTGGTTTTCCATTGGTAAAAGATGGGCGGATGGTACCTGGTACTTTCTTTGGAGTTCATGCACTCAACATTTTGTTCAATTTTTAAAGGCAGGTGGTCGCAACCAGTATAATCTACTAAAGAAATGTTCATCATAATCCAGCAAATCAACATGTTTGAGAAGCTGAAACCAGAGAAGCTTTTGTGTCTCTGCTTGAAGGATGATCAAAAGTTTATGTCAACTTCTTACAAGTTTACCTCGTTTAAAGGCATATTCATTGTTACAAGGACTTGCCTCTATCAGAAAAGAAACAAACTCACCTCCTAGTAGCTGAAAGCAGTTTAGAAAAATAATATTTTCACTTTAAATAAAGTGAAATAAAACCCAATTCTCTCTTCATGTGGTGATTGTTTAGTTATCTTGAGCTTTATGCAGAGACCTCTACTGACAGAAGCTGGACTCCTACCTGCCAGTCTGTTGTTGACACGATTGTGTCTCGACCAAAGCCACAGCACCGCTGACGACAACGTGTCCACCTCCACCAAACTCTCCTCCGCCATGACCTCAAAGTGCTCGGCACACGCCCGGCAGCCGAAGAAGCTGTGGACGTAGCTTCTCATGGCACTCAGCACCTCCTTGGGATCTGGAAGGAATGTTGATCACAAATGATTAGACAAAAAACTAAATCACAAACTCCTTCCTAACAACAGCGTTGTTCCATGTCCTGATTCAGTAACTATGTGTTTTTGTGATCATACACAAGTAATATGCAACTAAAAGCTGTGGTTAAAGCTGTAATGAAAAACACCTGCTTCCGTACATTAAAAAAGATACAGCTAACGTGCTAATGGTGGTGTGGGTCCACAGCTTCCTGGATTCCCACGGTTATGTGGGCCAGGAGTCACAGAGAGCTGGGTTAACCCCATTTTGAGATGAATTATCTGTGCAAATGGGATAACCCATTGTGGAGATTAACTACTGTTAACGCTCTGTGAATGGTGGCCATGCTGTTGTCTCAGAGCTTCAACAGTCCACAAACATATTCTCCCGGAGCCGGTTGCTTTTGTTCTCGGCTTAGCAGGACCTTCAGATGTACCCTAATGACAGCGGGAGTGAACGCGCGTGTGCGAGAGAGAGGGTGCGCTTTCTGAAATTAAGGGCGGTCTTCAGTTCAAACCTTGACCACCATGTTCACACCTTTCTGTGCAGCGTGTGGATGAATGGAGCCTCGTGTTGGGCTCCATACTGTACACCAACGCGTGTCTGTGCGTCCACTAAGCCGGTGGTCTGTGGGGGGCCAGATGGACGCCCTTTCGGGTCCATCCATCTGCAGGTCACGTGATGGTCCGTAAACCTCGGGATTAACCTCTGAGTGAGTGTGTGTTGAAGGGAGATTATAGTTCCTGCCAGGAGCGGAGCCTCTGGTCATCTGCCTGTTTTATTAACCACTCACATTCCACTAATCTAACATAATCCCTTTTCACACAGGCACAATTAGGCTCAAATTTAGTTGCCAAAAAATGAAAAAAAAAAAAAAAAAACGACACAAAAAATGTGGTCATGTGATAATGATTTTTGTTGCTAATTTGTTTACACAGCCTCACAAAGCGCTCATCCTCTGTCCACCCCTCCATGAGCTTTCATTGGGCTTTTCCATTCACATAAAAACAACCTGTGTGTGTGTGTGTACCTGTGCCTCCTGCGTCCTTGGCCTGGACAGTAAGAACATGGAAGAGACTCCACATCCCACAAGGGTAACGTCTAAAGTGGGGTTGTGAACCCTGACAGGCCACCCACCGCTCTCCTTCAGGCAAGGCAGTGTTTGGAGACTGAGACAGAAAGAGGAAGAACAAGTGGACACTAATTACTGACGGATGGAATCCAGGAAACAAAGAAAAAAAGATTAAAGGATCGATCTGGTGACATTCAAGATTTTATAACAAATCCCATGAAAATACCCCAAAAAACAATGAATTGATCACCTTAGATTACTAATACAGTATAATATAGAACTGCAAATAATTAAATATTTATATTAGTTAATCGGTTGATTTGTTTCTTGACAAAATAAGAAATGCAGAAATCTTTTGTTTGTCCACAACTCAAAGATATTCAGTTAACAGTCATAAAGGATCAAATAAACATCCCATAAAATTATAGTGAATAACTAATTGATTAATTAAAAACTCTGAACACTAGACTTTCTCACCGAGTTTTATTATGACAAACAGACTACAAGAAGTCTTGCCTGGGAACACCTTTAACAAAATGCATGATTTAATCCTGCTCAAGTGATATTATCTAAAACACTATGATGCCCAGTTGTTTCAGGAAATTTGGTATTTGTAGTGTTATTTGAGAAAAGTAGTAAAAGAAACACACAACCCATTTTTTTTTAATAAATCCCAGTTTGGAGCAAATGTCTAAATGCCAGAGACAGAGTAAGGAAGTTGTAACATACTGAGAGGAATTCACTTTTTGATGGTCGCATCAATCAGCCTTTTCCTTTGTATAAGAATCGGAGACCAAAGACTTTTTTTTTTTTTTTAAAGTACAGCCTCTCCAGGGTCTCCCAACCTGTTCAACCTAATGAAAGCCCTTCCACGTAGTTTTCGTGATCAATAAGAAGTCAATCTCAGGTTAATGGCTCAGCCCTCCACTAATGAACAGAAGCTATCCAGATCTCTAACCACCAGCCACAGTTGAATCCAATAGCATATTTTCTCTGACATAAAGTCGTTTCTCTCGATGCGATGCATTGCCTTTGCCAGCGTGATTGACAGGGTTACTCACATGTCAATAGTAAAGATTTGGTATGCGCGCGTGTGCGTACAGACTCCATTTCCTCTGAGTCTATTCATACCTTTCCATTGATTCATTGATGAATTGATTTGCCTGCTAAAAGCTAATGATGTAAGTAAGTGACTCTTTCAATTTGCGAGGGGCGGTACTGGAGGCATGCAGGCTTCATTCCAAAGACAACAGCGCATAGATCCTCAGCTGGGCGGCACGGGGACAAGGACAAAGTGCACGCTGAGGAACCTGGATGTCTGTAGAATAAAATGTGTATCATACTCGCACCGTGGATTTTTAGAGAAATTCTCAAGGATCACATTTGAACATGTTGTGACTGGATAGGTCTCACGTTGGTGCCTCTGAAGTGGTTCTGAGCTGATTATGCGCCCAGACTGACAGGTGACCTTGATCTCTCGCTGGAACTAAGAGGCTCCTCCGAGACGGACGTCCTAAAATCATTTTTGCGACGCCTCTCTGTTCTCCGCGCGGCTCTCTGTCTGCTCCTTTAATGTCTCCCTTTACGATGCCCGTTCAGGCTCCACAATGTATGCGCCCTTTTCTCAATTTGCTTTAATGTTCTTCCTCAATGCAGCTCGTAACGGACAGACCTCTGAATCCGATGAATACCAAAAGGAACAACATGTCGGCTAGGAACAATTTTGATGTTACCTCGAGTGAAAACAAGGTGAAAAGCTATTGAATATTCATCTATACAGCTCCGTCTGGACTCACCTGAGCGGTGTTATCCAGGATCTCTCGCAGTGCCTCATAGGAAATCTCGTCGCCAGTCTGGTTCTGTAGCCAAGCGTTTAAAGACTTCAAAAGGTTCGTCACCACGGGACGGCCTGGAAAGTACTGCAGACATAAAACAACAAGGGCGTCAACTTAAAGAGACGAAAGAGACAACGGCATTGATTACAGAGCAAATGTGATGCAAGAAGGAATGCAGTGAACCTTTATATTCTTTACCGATCATTTGTTTTTATTATCCATTAGATATTAAGTGGATGAAATGTCAGAAATATATGCCATGGGCATTTCCCCCCATTCTTCATGTGAAAACCCTTAAGCATTCAATCTACTGTCAAAGACCCAGAATACGTTCATATTAAAGAACACTTCCGTCAATTTGACCTAATCAAGTGCAGGTTTAGTTTATTGAGAAACAACACAACTCCTCCATACAACCAGTTCTATATATTTTAATGAGTCTTCACTGATAAAGTAATTGCTCATAAAATATGACAAAACTCCTTTTACTAAAACGAGCTGTTCAAATCAACATCCTCACCTTTGAGTACCATCGTTTTGTTCCTTCTAACACACAATGAACCGAGCAGAGATGTAATGAAAAGATTATCAGTTGCCAACATTCTCAACTATATTGTTCACAAGGTTTATAATCTCTCACAGAAGTTGTTGTTGGGTTTTTTTTTCCCTTACAAAGAAACTCGCTAAATGTGACAGCAGCAGACCTTAAGCCTCTTCCTTCATTAAGATCCATTTCCTAAGCCACTAACAACCACTTAAACACAGTCTGCTCAGCGCTTCCTCCTCATGTGTATTTACATCCTTTCAAACTGGCGCTACCACGGTAACAACCACAACTGGGAGGAAACATGACCCAGTAACTAGCAGAGGGGGCACACGAAGAGAAAGAGGAAATCCAGCTGATGGGCGTCTGATACCGGTGATGACAGAGCAAAGACAGACACGGACAAACGTCTCTTCTCACATACCTTACTGACAATAGAAACAGCTGACGTCTTCAGGGAAGAGCCTCTTAATAAATATCAGCTAAATCTGTTACCTATTCTTACTGTAAGCCGCTTTGGAAAAGTGTATGCTAATAGTCCTGTTTCTCAGAAATAGACACAGCAGAGGGATTAAGGCTTTTTCCAAGACTCAAAACAACTTCTATGGGAACTTTCATTTAAATTTGTACTACAGTATATATATATATATATATATTCAATCAATTATTGAATAAATATATATATATATATATTTATTCAATAATTGATCATTAATGTGATCTATAAAGTCATTAAATTAGGGAAAAAACCTGCGATAACATCATATAGCTCCCGGTGACGTCTTTCTCTGCCAGACGACAGTCCAAAGCAAAGATTTCCAGTTTACTATCTCGTTTGGAGCAGAATGAAGCAGATGAGTTGTATTGAATTATCAAATAAGTGTCCGGGGCCATTGACTGACTAGTTGTTGCAGTTCCACTTTGTTTTGAAAGGCAGAATCAGAAGCATCGCTGAACAACGCGTGTATTCATAGTTCTCGGGACTAAAGAGGAATAAATACAAGAAAAAAAAAGAAAGCAGACAGCAGAGTCAGCTCCCGTCAACTTTTCTAATTCTCTGAGTCGTCTTTTATTTAATTGGCTTCTACCCTTTCTTCACCTAAATATGGATGGACACACACACACACACACCTTCAGTCAACGGCTCAGCCGTGTTTTCATCGCCCTCTAACAGGATCTCTGCGTTACACTCCGACCACTTAACCAGGCCCCCGGCAATTTGCTTAAACCTCCTCGTCCAAAGCGAACAGCGGTGCTGTGCGGCCTCCTTCCCTCTCCTGACTCCACACAACGTCTTTCACCCGCCATACACCACCATCTGCACGAACACGACTTAGTAAGACAGTAGATTGCAAGTAAACTGTTCATTTAAAATAAAAAAAAGAATTAAATAATCCCACTGAACAGAATTACTTTCAATTTTTTTTTCAACAGCAAACATTTTGTATTCAAGCAGCAGATATCTGTCCACACACGGTGAAGGTGGAACGTAAGGACCAGACAAAGGCCTCGGATGTGTGCTCACTGCTGGGAGAGCGATCTAACAGGTTTAGGTCTGGATTTGAGGTCCCGATGCCACCCGGTCAGAAAAGCTCATTAAACAGGCGTATGAATTTAACCAGAAGAGAAGAGCGCAGGTGTTTCACACTAATGGGTTTAAGTTAGCGTCGCCAAAGCAACAGTATTCATGAGCGACCCGCTGGCCTGAAAGCTCAGATGTTAATGACGTGCAACTTTATAGTAATACAAACAATATTTATGTAATCAGATACCTGTCAGGGGCATCTTAATAGGTTTTATTGTTTCTCATGTGACTTTTGTTTCCTCTTGTTCTCCCCCCCCCGAGCTCCCTGGCTTTGAACATTGATGGTGCACAATGTCAATCAATATGCCAATATACCTTCCACTCATTGTGGAAGTTTAGATTTGTTATAGCAAAAGTCTGTTTAGCCACATGAAAGATGTATTCACATAACACGTTTCTCCTTCGTAAATACTGACGGTTAGAAACCTGGCTTTACGAGGCGTTATGCTCCTGGATGATGCATGATCATAGACATCCGAGCATCTGAGTTACACAACAACAACAACAAAGAGAACTCGACTGGAAACCAGACGTTTATCCAATGACATTCCCATTTAATTAATTAAAAGACCACATTCAATATTGGAAAGGCCAAGTGATCAAAGAGTAAACCTTTTACATTTTATCATCTCTACTAAATATCTCCCTCCGCATTTGTTCTCTCCATCATGAAAACACACACATCCCCTAACCCCGCGTCCCTCCTGCCCCCCATACCAGTTGGACCATGACAATCCCCTTCACCCCGGCAATATGTCATCCTGATCCGATTAGTATCAGCAGCACTTGAGAAACCTTGCGGTGAGGGTCCCAGGAGGGAGGCATCTGTTGGCTGCACCAGGGCAGACCAAGCCACGTGTGTGTGTGTGTGTGTGTGTGTGTGTGTGTGTGTGTGTGTGGGGCGGGGGGGGGGGGGGGGACTTCTTGATAATAATCTAAACTTCAGAAACGTGCCACGCAAACAGCAGCCCCACTTTTAGACACGCGTTGTGTGTTTTCGTCACTACGGGGGAAGATGCAGAAGAAAACAGTCGAGTGGATCAACCTTTAAAACGGAAACAGGATCCAGAAATACATGAACAGCTGCCGTTAAGAAAAGCACACAGCATCTTTAGTAATATAGGTGTATTTGAACATTGTGTCCTGAGCCGATGCGTGCAAAGGACATCGCCTGTGTCCCGTTAGTCCAAAGTCCCCCTTTGTAATTCTTTGTTTTATTCCCCTTCCCCGCTGTCCCCTCTGGGCTGAAAGGCTTCTTTCAAGAAAAGCAGGATAGAGGTGTAATCCTTAAAAACCTCGCTGTAATGCTCTCATGCTTCCCAAGATCCACTTTTTTTAATCCCAATATACATGTAGAGGTTTCATAAATCCGGCTTCAGCCTGACAAGACAGTAAATCTAGTAATTTTATGAGAGAGTCCAAAAAAAAAAAAAAGAAAAGGAAAAATAACAACCCCCATGTTTACATGTTTGTGTGGAGATGCAAGGATGGGAGGATTATGGATTGAAAAGAAACAAACAAATCAATTGCAATTCTTGGACGGAAAAGATAATATTTTTTTAGGTCAAGTAAAATCGCTGAAAACATGAAGATTAATAGATTTCTATTAACAGACTTTTTTTTTCAAGATTCACAACAATTCTAAGGCGATTGACTCAATTCTTAAGCAAGAATCCTAGAAATGTTTTTTTTTTTTTTTTAATCTTCTCAACTACTACAATTTCTAGACTGGCAAAGACTGGCGGTTTCCATATTTTCTCATGTTTTAAAATTTTGAAAATAATAAAAATAACAAATAATGAATTAAAAAACATTTTTAATTTGCTTCTGCCCCTCCAGGCAACATTAAGCCAAACCATAAAATATCACCCATGGCAGCGCAGTCCTAAAGTAAACAAGCACGCTCCAGTAATTATTCAGTTAAGTGAAAATTAAAAAAGTGCATCATGACTGAGGAAAATGTGTCACAAGCACGAATAGATGACACTCACACTGTGGTCAGGACACTGTGAGTCACTTTCACTAATCTAATCACATGACTCACACAGAGTTCACGTGTCTGATATTTACATACTGCATCAGTCTAGGAGAGATAATTTCGCTACACATCAGCAATCATTTGCATATAGACGAAAAACGAACAAAAGAAACCAGACATTCAGGATTCAACAAAGCTGAAAATACTTTTCGTTTAAAAAAAATAAAAAAATAAAGTCTGCATCTGAAACCGAATATAGAAATAATTATTTCCAAAACAACCCTGTTTTGTCCCTTCTGGTTTCTCATCTACAGCTACTTGCTTGTCTTACATGAGCTGATCCTGAAAGCTGAGACTGGCTGAGAGGACTCGGCCTCTTTGAAGCGAGATCACTCAGTGAAACGACGATGCGGCGCGTCCCAATGAAAGCCTCCTCAGCGACACAAAGCCCGCTGAGTCCCCGCTGGTCCATCATGGTAGGGGGACAGGGTAAAAAGACCACTGGGACCTGCTGCTATTGACTAAACAACCTGAGGCTAATGGGAGGCCGCGTTGCTCTGCCCCCCCCCCACACACGCCTCCCCAGAGAGGGCGATATAATCACAGAGATTGGTGGCAGACGAGGGCCGTGAGACAGCCTGGTGCGTGGCCAAAAAGGGACGGGGCCAGCGGGTCGGGCCTCGTCCCCACCACATGTTTGCCTGGCAAGCACACTTCGGCTGACGGAAAGAGATGAATTGAACCACAGAGAACCGGCACAATCTCACAATGTGTGAAACCTCACGTGGGAGGAGGAGCAGTGCCGGCTGTGTCTGTGTAAAGCCTCCGGGCAGCGGGCGGGTGGCAGCCACGCTTCAGTCCCCCGGGGAGCCCACGTGGAGGGGGGCCAACAATACCCAAGAGAGTGTGAGTGCTCCGGCTCTAGTCAATGGCATCCACATCCGCTGCAAACCACGCGTGTGTGTGCGTGTATGTGTGTGTGTGTGTGTGTGTGTGTGTGTGAAAGCAAAAGTACATCCAACCAAAATTTGCTAAACAAGCAAATGGATTCTAACAGAATAAACAAAAAAAGAATGTTCTCGCTTTAAATCCTGCATAACAACAGCTCAAAACCTACAATGTGAACATTTAGGTGCATCAATCCCCATCTAGTGGTGTCCTGCTGCAACTACACATTCGCAATAAAAGCTGGTCTTTTTTTGTTTTCTGACTAATTTCCTGATTCGACATTTTCTTTGTCCCTATAAATTCAGCCTCTTTTGCCTGGCGAAAAGAACAGTCAAGATAATGTGAGGAAAAGTGAATGAGCTGCTTATTTTACAACAGAGTGCTTCTAAATGACAAAAAAAAGGAAATAATCGCAGCTTAAATCTTGTGGTAAACCCACATTTAAAACGAACACTTAAAATCCAAATGTTATGAAATAATGAGCGGTCATTTCTTGCATCATGTCTGTGTGCTACACGCGTGTAAGCAGCGCTCCCTCTACTAACTTTACCTTCGCCAGGACCGAGACGTACTCCCTGAGAGAAGTCAGGGCCCCTCCCTTTATGACGGTATGAGCAGCCAGCTCCACACGCAGCGAGTAATGCAGCGTCGACTCCAGGTCGGCCATGTACACTCTGGACCTGGACACACAAGCGAGCGCCACCGTGTCACAACACAAGATACGTCTGAGCACTCACAAAGACATAAGAGCGGGCTTTGCTCGTGCCTGTTGAAGGGTTTCCACGGCTCCTGTGTGTGGTTGGTGACGACCCCGGCGGCGACCGGTGGAGGCTTCCCTGACCGCCTCACTCCCGGCAGCGCCTGGAGCGCGTAGGAGTAGAAAGCACGGGCCTCTATGTTGCTGAGGGAGAGAAGGACAGGTGAGAAGCGACCCTCAGGGGACTCAACAGAATCTCTGTGCACAAAAAGTAAGCGGACACTCGTCCCCTTTGCTTTGGCCGTGACGATCATCCGGTGAACAGAGAGCTCAGTAAAGACTCCTTTGTTCAGTTGTCGCGAAAGAATGTGAGCCGTCCAACACCTTTGGAGCATTAATTAAAATGCTGACTGCAAGTCGGATAGTGTCACTCGGCATCAGTCGCCGACCGCACGGATGCTCTTATAAGTGGGAGCAAATATCGGATTCCCGTTCAGAAAACATTGAAGAGCGGAAGCTGCTGTGGCAGATTGTTAATTCCCATCACTTTGGAATGGAATGTTAGACGATGACATTTCGGTGTAATGTTTGACAATCTTTTGGCCACGTGGCTTACACTCAGCCCCGTCTCTACAGCCATGTGAAAATCCAACCTTTTGTTTTAAGACCTGTTTTTATGTGCCTACTTACTTTCACACTTACGGGAATGCATTTTAAATCCTGAACAGACGGTGCCGGAGCAGCGTGGAACTGAGAGATCATTTAGCCATGTGATAACCCTGCAACTGGAGCCGCAGCCATTAATGCGCTCGCCCTCCCTAACATCCTCCTCCCATTTGCTTTCTCCACTTGTCAGTGCCAGAGAGAGAGAGAGAGAGGGAGAGCGAGAGGGCGAGAGAGAGGGAGAGAACATCGTAAAACTGGAACAGGATGGTAATAAGGAGGATGGATACTCGGGGCCCGCGCCTGCTCCCTCGCTCCCGGCCCGGGACTCAATTGCACCTGCGTGTCTGGTGGGAGTGTACAGATGTGGAGGGAGAGCCATTCATTCAGATCCCAAGGGCCGACGGGCAGGAAGGCATCAGGGTGGGCTGGGGGGGTTGCATTCACCTGGGACCAGCACACATTACATGCATGACGGATGTGAGACGCTGCTGCACACGCACACGCAGGCAGGCACACTCTGCTCTCCCAGGATCAATCAGACATTCAGTGATGATGGGAGGCCATCTGTTGCCGGGTGCGGCTGGGGCTTGTTTGGCAGGTGAAGCCAGAAAAGCAATGGCATTGTTTTCATGCAAGAAATTAAAAAACCTCCCCTCTGTACAGTGATGGAGATGAGGGGGGGTTGGAAGGGGAGCGATGAAGGGAGGGGGCTGAATAAATAAATCAGCAATAAATCATTTCCTTTTTGCATTTGTCAAGTAAAAAGAGTCCTCTTTGCATGCCAAGTTATTGAAGCAGCCAAACAAAGAGGGAGAAACAGCAGATGAATTTGCAGGATGAGGAACGATCAGCGCCGCTTTATGATAGGGAATAATGGGAGGGATTTTGATGCTCTGATCCCATTAGGAGGCCAGATGTTTAAAAGTATTCTCATGAATAGGGTTCAGATAATGAGCAGGGGATGAAGGTTTAGAAAGCAAAGTCGCGGCGTTAAGAACAATAGGAACCGAGAGGAAGTAAACTCGGCGTTTGTCTATTTCAGATGTTAAATGGAAGTTTCTGTAAAAAGGTTTGAGATGCTTTTCATACACATATATATAATATATTATAAATAAATGTACCAGGTATAGAAAATACAAGAGTAGCTCATGTTTCACTACCACCTTAACCATATCACATCCACCCGCTTTCTTTTCAATTTCAGTTCCTCAATAGACAACATCTATTTAGCCCACTTTTTTTTCCTTGCAGGTCTTTATCTATTTTTAATCCTCTCGGAATTGTAACAACATTTCTTTCTAACCCTAACCCGTTTTTAGCAGTGAACCTTCCTGAACTTCACAGATAACAATAGGCAGTACTGGACGTTCACAAGTAACACTAAGTCCATTGTTACATCCTGTAGGAGGTGGTGCTTGTTATTGTTAAGCCGTGGTAGCACTCGCAGTTTGACACGACCACAATGTAACCGCTGCCACTTGCATGTTTACACAGTGGGTCGGTCCACTTTAGGGCTGTTCCAAAGCAAGCTATTGTGCAAAGAAACAATAAAAACCTTTAGACCGCCAGTTTGCATCGGCACCGACTTCTCCTACAACCACCATTGTGAAAAACTGGGTGGATTCACTCAAGTTGTATCGTGCACACCCACACAGGGGTTTTCACTCAGTCTGAAGACTTAGACATTTTGTTGTGGTTATGTTCGACAGGACTTGGAATCAAAACCGTAGAAACACGTGTGCATGCAGAAAAATTGTCAGGAACGCTGTGGTAGAGAGGAAGTGAAACACAGATTCTCACACTTTGAGTCTGGTGAAGTTGCCTCCAGCAGAGTAAAGGTAGCAGGAGGGAAACTCCGTCACTCCCAGTTTGGTCACCAAACCTTCTTCGGTGCTCAGGACTCTCCGCACTGCGACGTTCTCAAACTGTAACAGGTCCAGGGTCACCTGAGGAACGGAGAACACGCAGAGTTAAAAAAAAAAAATCATCCAGGTGATGTCCAATCCTCCTCAATCAACATTATAAGACATTTTCGCTTATTGGCTGAGGTTAGAAGAATCGGAGAGACGTTGGTTGATGAGATGAGCCGTTACCTCTCGGCCGATGTAAGATGTGGCGTCCTCAAATATCAGAGCCAGGTGCTGGACGTTGTTGGTCTCAAAGAAGCTGTCGATCTCTGCTTGGCTGGCGAGAGAGAGACGAGCGGAACGTAAGAATTCAGGTGCGAGTTACGCAGAGGCGGGAAATGAACAGTTAGTTAAAACGGTTATCGATTAATCCCAACGATCACATTCTGAGAAAAGAAGGAGGTCCAGGATTTTAAAGACAAAACAGGGAACCCTCTGGCATAACATCGGGTTAATTTCATTTCGGCAGTTCCTTTTACACATTTGAGTGGCCTGATCTCGTTGGTCCTCACACAATACTATTTTAATCTGAATGGCATCCTCACCCACAATCATAAACATTAAAACTAAATTAGTATCTGTTTTTTAATTAAGCTGTTAACACAAAACAATAACATACTTCATACTGCCACCTTTTCTGTTGAGAAAAGCAGTGAAACAGAAAGCATAAGGGTTCTTTGCAAAAGAAGAAAAAGGGGAAGAAGAAAATCTCATGACGCAACAGTACTTTCCCATCGGACCTAAAAAGAAAAATAAAGTGGATTTCCTGCTTCCTTTCATGTACCAAGGTAATAGACTGTGCGCAATGCCTGAACACATGTAAGGCAGTTTGTGGCCTGGTAGAGAAGATCCTGAAGACTTTACTTACTAGTGTAAACATTTGATTCCTCATTCTGTCACAAAAAAAAAACAGTGCAGCAGCTTTTGATGGCATAAGAGAAAATTATGCAACTAAAATGAAGACAGAGATAACAAGACTGCAACAAAGGAGGGAGAAAAAATGTCACTAAATATGAAACCAGAATTCCAAACTGTTGTTTGTGGGATAGAACATGGAGTTCTATACAAAGTGTCCGTACAATGCGGGTAACTAGGTTAAAAACTAAACAGTAGCATACAAATTTGCAAAAACATTACCGACGTGTTGTTAAATATCATTACAGAGAAATCATAATCAAAATCATAAGTGCAGGTCATCAATAGCGAGGACAGATTCAGAAGCGGGTGATTGACAGGTAGAGTAACGCTTCACAATTGGGAATGTGAGTGTGTGTTTACCTCGTGGGCTCCAGTGGGGGGCAGGCGGGGGGCCACGGCTCCTCGTGGCTTTCCAGTTTGTCTATGATCCGGTGACGGAGGACCCAGACTTCATGAGTAGAAGCTGGAGGTCAAAGGGCATCAAGAGAAGGTTATGCTCAGTTGGTGATTATCACTAAGGACTACACGAGCAGTTGCTTGTGTGTGTGTGTGTGTGTGTGTGTGTGCGCGCAGTAGTACCTCTAAAGCTCTGTCCTTTAGAATCAGCCTTGGAATAAGCGTGGAAGAACTGCAAAGGGAAAGGGACAGAAGGTTTACGTTATGTAGGAAGTCGATGAAGGGAAAGAGAGAAGTGAGATCAGATGCGACGGCCCTCACACGGCCATGAGAAAAGCACGGTCATGTTGTGTAATGTTCGGTGGGGTGGGGAAGGGGCTGTGTGGGGTGGGGCAGCTTGCCCCTCTGGGCACCTTGACCCCTAAATCCCTCCTGGTTAAAATGAGTCGCAGATGTTTCGGCTCCATTGTGCGTTCAAACAGAGGGGGCTCTTTGTTTCATTGGCTCTGGCTGGATGACGGAGAGGAGCGACTTTGAAACACACACTGCTGCTGACGCACGCACACACACACACACACACACGGACGCACGTACGTACTCACACAGTTGCAGATACAGTATCAAAGACAATCCGTAACAGAGCTTCAACAAATACAGACAAATTATTTTAAAAATAAGCTGCTCTACACACATATTAGAATCTAATTAAATAATTAAAACAATATTACCTTTACTCACCTGTAGGCGGAGTAATACAACTGATGGATAATAGATTTGTCTTTGAACAATCAAAAAGAAGTGCTGAATAAATGTCAGTGTTCACCTGTAATGCTTCAGACGGATAAAAGAAAAACTCCATCAACATCAGTTTTAGAAGTAAACTAGTTAACAACTTAAACATCGTAGAGAATGATGAGTACAACATCTTGAATTCATCAAATACCTTTATAAAAGTACCAGCAAACACATATTCTGTTTCCACACATGCGTATCAACATTATGCTCTACGTGCTAATCGAAACCAAACGTAGTGTACACATGTTGAATGAAGGCAGCGCCGAGGCATGTTGGAGGAAGACTGTGAACATTCCTTATTTTATGGCTTCTGCAAAATAGAGACCAGCTCACCGGGCTGAAATACAGTGGAGTACTTTCTGATGGATATTGTTTTCCTCCACGTAAATAAGGTAGAATAAGGTTCAAAGTTTTGAGTCACCTGCACCTACTTCCTTCATTTCTTTTAATATAAGGACTAAAACTTTTTTTAATAAGAGTCACACATTTGAGGCTACGTTGACCATCTCTGTTAAATAAGTGGATCCTCCCGCAGCGGTTATCGCAAGAGGACACAGAATGTGGGGCTGCGTGTTATATTGTGAATAATACCTTGATAGTGGGGTAGGCTTTGATGCCGAAGGCGGTGCAGACCTTCCTGTTCTCCTCTGCAGCGCAGTCGATGGCTGCCAGGTCAACAGCCGGCTTCCACTCTGAAGAACAGACATGAAATACAGCCAAAGTAAATATTGAGTTTACCGTCAATGGCACCCGACCACAGTGGCTGAGGCCCCGGGGTCGGGCCAACGTGTATTTTGCAATCAACACTTCGGATTATAACATAACTTTGTATTTTTAGAAGAGGGCAAAAGGTCCACAAAGTGACGCTGGTGGGACCACGAAGACAGTTTCTACACTGCTGTGAATATTTGACTTCTTCATCAAGTTCATCAACATTTACTGCATATACTCTCAGATTAAGTGGTTGCCATGGCGATATCTTCTGCATGCAACCCTAATTTCTCTGGTATTCTCCTCGAATAACAGTGGATGCGGACCCGTTTAAAGTCCAATTCCAATTGCAAAGCATTTAGTACCGAGACGCCAGTTGCCACAGTTGTGTGTGTGTGTGTGTGTGTGTGTGACTGAAATACACCGTGACTGCGTCGGGCCTCCTGCCATCATTACAGCCCCCTTTGCCCTCCACCATCATCCGAATTGTATTTCCTCTCACGGCGCTGTGATATTTATTCGGATATTTGACGGGACAGACACTCATTAGATCACACGCTCTAATTAACAGGTACAAACAACAGCTTGGTGTCCTCGCTCGTTTCCGTGCACATGAGGATAAATACAGCGAGTTGTAACCATGGCGATAATTAAGAGACTTGTGTCACTTGAATAAAACAAGCTCTGAAAGGCAGATAAGAACGCGTATCAACGGGAAAGGAAGGTCACGGAACACAGCTGCGTGTCGTGTCACCAACCTTTAATGTCTCTCGCCAGACGTTTGTAAACTGGAGAAAAGGCGATGCAGTGTCCGCACCACGAAGCGTAAAATTCCACCAGCACGGCGGCCGTGGAGTTGATCAAAAGCGGCTCCACGTTGTCCGGACTCAGCGGGAGGAGCTGGTCGGTGGCGGTGTACAGCCCGGCCTCCGCGGCGGAAGGGAACAGGAGACAAAAACACAACCAAACCACCGCCGACGTCGCGCTCTTTCCGGCACTTTTGGGGATTTCTCCGGTGAACCGAGACGTGGCACCGCCGCGGCGCCGCGCCATCTTCCTCCCGCCCCCCCAGCTGCGGCTGCCGAGCGTCGGTGTGGACGCACCGAGTTTTCACCTCCGCGTCACACCAAAGTTGACACAACTTTTCTGCCTCACTCTGCGAGGCGGCCAGCGGGCTTCATCGTGCTTCCTCTCTCCCTCTCTCTCCCCCTCCCTTTCTCTTCCAGTTTGGAGTTCTCGTCCTTTTAGAAAACACACCTCAAGGAACTAAGCGACGCACGCGCACGGTTGTCATTTCGCCCCGATAAAGTCTGACACTTGATTTTTGACCCTTCGCGGCTTTTGTACAGGAAACAACTTGCAATAACTAGTGTTGTTATTAACGTTCACAAAGAGTTAAATCAACATGCTCATATTTGATATTTGTGGCAAAATATGTATATTAAAATACCAAGCAGTGAATCATTCACCCAATATTACTGCAAAATTAGAAATGTATCATTCTTAAATATCCCAGATATAGTCAAGACTGGTACATTACAACACTTTCTCTGTAATCGTATGATGCAAACTTCTGATATTGTGTAACTCCCACGTTCAACAGAGGAGCTGCTGCAATGGCTTCAAAATCTATATTTAAAAAGAGTTACTGATGTAAAGTGTTAACATTTAGAGCGTTAGGACGAGATTCCTTGGCCTGGCATCAGTGCTGCAACACTTCAAACTACTAACCAAAACAAGTCAGATTACTTCAGAAACAATGGAAGCTTTATTTACAATTCATTTAGTTAACAAATATATATTTTGCACATATTTTCAAAGTATACAGTGTTTATCTTACAATCACTCAGGTTACAGTAACAGTGGGTCAGATTGAACACAGTATATTTACACCCATAAAAGAATTGTACACATCTTCAAGTGCACTTGGCGCACACTAACCGCACAGAATTATAAATATTCATCCACATTTTAAAAGATGAAGTGACAAATCTAGTGTAACTGGGTTAATTTAATAATCAAATCTTTTCTTTTTATTCAATCATTTATATCAATCTCTATTAAAAAGGGGAAGTTCCTCCACCTCCCCTTGGAGAAAACGGACCTCAGACGAGCGGATAGAAGCACCTCCATCCTACACCAGAGAGCCGTAAGCTCGTCTACGATCTCATCAACCTTCACACTCAGGAGAAGTCTGAGCCTTTTGGTCCATACGGCCGAAGCGGAGCACAGGACCAAGTACTGCATAGTTAGAGGGGATCTCCACTGCCTCCCACATACAATCAATTCAAGAAGACAATCCAAGAGGGTTTGCAATAAAGTACAGTTACATATGCCTTCAGCCCAGACTCACAACCCATACAGCATGAGAAATTCGTGTCAATGTTTTGGTCGTTTTCTACATTATACAAGTTACAGTTTGAGCGTGTACCTTAGAAAAACGTTTTACACCTCGCGGGTTGGAAAACAAAAAAAATAGAGTTTTAAGGTTACTTCAGCTTCTTCAGAAGATTTAATGCACCGTCACGATGAGTTTGTACACGGTTGGATCCGAGGAGCATTGATTGCGGGGACTAAAGAAAGCCCTTTGATAAAGTCCAGGTGCGCAGTCTCACCACCTCAATGACCCACAACTTATTTGTGTGTGTGTGTGTTTGTAGGGTCAACAATCTAGTTGTTGATACACTTCGATTATCGATTAAAAAAATGACTCAACTGTGTGTATATGCACAGATGCAGGGTCGGCGTGGCCAAAAAGCAGAGTGAGTCAGTGATTCTGTTAGCACAAACTATTTCTCAAGCGGAGCACGGACAAAATGAGAAGGCTTGGAAAACGTTCCCAACTAGGCTTCAATACAGAAAGATTGATAAGGCAGAAACCGAAGTGTTGGCAAACCGGTGAGAAGCTAGAGGGGCCATTTAAGGATCATTTACAAAAAAGGTAGTAAACAGCAAGTTGAAAGAGACATTCAAAGAAAAATAGGTCCAAAGGGAGTTTGTTACGAATCTACAACTAAAGAGGCACTTGAACTGAATGCTGAGAGAGAGAGAGAGAGAGAGAGAGAGAGAGAGAGAGAGAGACTGCCAAACGTTCAGCTGGCAACCTTCACAAGGACAACCAATGAAGAAACAGGACCACCACAGGTGTCATGGGAAGAAAAATGACTGTAGAAAAAGTAAGGCTAAAATCCAGCACACGGGTGTCGTCCTGTGATGCGATTCTACTTTTGTTACCCCCGTGGGCATTAGCGCTGGTGGACAACCATTCCCCCCCTCGCCCCCCGACAGCTTACTTAAACAAGGTTGAATGGGGTTCAAAGGCCTCAGTTAAAGCCCAAAAAAATAGGAATGAAGCGCAAATCACCGGAGAAGCGTTTTCTTGCTGGTTGTACGAGACTTTCCAAGCGTTGACATAAGTACAGGGGGTATGTGTCCCACAAAAGGGGGACAACTGGACAGCTGTGGCCACAATAAAAGTCATACAGAATACTTTCAACGAATCAACACTTCAATGTTTCAACTATTTAAACAGTTTTCACCAAAAACATCAATAGCACTCTTTAAACCTCTTCGATAATATATTGCTGTGTCCACGTTCACATTTCTTTTTCTTTTTGTGCTTTTTACAATTTCAGTAAAATGTTAAAATCTGTTTTCTATATGTTGACAAGATCATTTACAGTTCAAAATGTTCCTTACTCTGCTAATCAAACGTTTTCTCACGATAAATAATATATTTAAAGAGGCAAAATGTTTCATACAATAACTGATCTCATCGACACTCCACTACAGCGCAGTCCAACAATATTTGATCTGTGACCATTTCTATTTTTCTACCTCTGTCCAAAATTAAACAATGATTAGGAAGTTAAAGTGTTTTAAATCTCAGTTTTTAAACTATATAGATTTAGAGGGTCTGAGTCAGTCGCCCCTTAAGACCAGACAAGCAAAAGGTGAATGGCTGCAATGTCTGCAGGTAAATAATTAAGTAAAAACCCTATAATTAAGTTTAACTTCATAACCATTGTTAAATTTAAATGAACTGGATTACAAAGCCAACACGATAATGTGTTACTGTCACTGGACTACACTGTATAGTCTTTATCTGCTACTCTATTACAATTTTTAAATCCATACATATATTTACTTTAGGATTCAATACAAAATATGACAACCTCCTTGTGTTCTAGGTGGATTAAAAAAAAATGGAACAATCAATTTTAGCAGCATTAATGGATTTTAAGTGCGAACAAACTATCGAAGTCCATTCCATCGAAGAATCGTCTCATTCTCCTCCCGGTGTTGACAAAAGAACCACCCCAGGAGGTGAGGAATGAGATCGGGTGGTGTTAAGGTTTGAGAAGGCTGGACTGCTCGAGAGGTGCAGGGAGCCGGAGCCGAATTCCGCAAATGAACATCACAGGAAGAAGTGAGCGTGGTTCAGCCGAGAGGTAACGCCGGGACTGAAGGCATCTGAGGTTTGCTGCTGACACATCAGCTGGTGGAAGACCGAGCGGCGGGAGGTTGGCTGGAGTTCGTCGAGGAGGAGGGGAGGGGGGTGTAGTTTAGAATCGGAACCGGAAGGCCGTCAAGACGGGCCCGTTTTCCCTCTTGGCCCTCTTGTCGTAGATCAGCGTCAGCACGTTAGCGGTGTCCTTCAGCAAAGCGTCAAAGATGCTGTCCGCCAGCTGCATCTTGACAAACAGCTCGTCCTCGTCATAGTTGACCCACTGAGCTTCCTCCTCATGGAGTTCCTGAACCTGAAAAACAAAATTCGGTGACGTGACATTAATCATTTGTATCAAAACAAGTCATGTGAAAACATTTTTTGATTTAAAGTAAAGCAAAATTGAATTAATTGATTAATTGATTAAAACAAAAGTAATAAAGAATCACTCAAAATGAAATTCACTATTTCATTTGAAATGATCGAAAAAAAAACAAGGACAAACAACAAGGATAATTAATTAAAAAAACATGATAGGGATCTTGAACATCTTCCTATCACATATTAGGTGTCCTTTCCGGGCGACAAACAATCCCTAAAAATGAAAATAAAGAAAGCAAACCCCCCAAACATTTATTTTAAAAACCTACCAGAATATGATCAACTCTGTCTCGTGTCTTTTTGCCAAATTTGAGCATCTTCTGCCAGTCGGTCTTCTGGCTGTGATCTTTGGTCAGACCATACATCTTCAGTACCTCTGCTGAGATGAATTCCTGTGACACAATGTAATTCACCATGTCATCGGGTGAGTGGCATTTGAATGTTTGGACGTTTTTTTACTACATGCCGTAAAACTTGCAGATATCCCGGGTGAATTAACAAAGCCAAATTGTGAAGTTTCACTTGGAAGAAATAAAAAACAAACCAATACTCTCACTCATGTAGTTTTCTTTAAAGTAAGGCAATACAAACATAGAAAGATAATATGACAACTTAAGTAGCCGGTGTGTTTGTCTAAGGTGGGTACAATACCAACATAAAAACATAATATGATGACTTAAGTAGCCGGTGTGTTTGTCTAAGGTGGGTACAATACCAACATAAAAACATAATATGATGACTTAAGTAGCCGGTGTGTTTGTCTAAGGTGGGTCTCTTCACACATCTCTCCCCTGATTTTGGGAGGGGTCCCGCGGGGTCTCTATCGGGGGGGGAGAGAGAGACCCTACCCGGCCGTGTGTGCTCCCCCGGGGGGTGTTCCCCGCCGGGGTCTCCGTGTGAGATTCTCGGAGCGTTCTCCCCCGCCGGTGTGTACCACCCTTAAATTTGGGGGGGGGGGGGGGGGGGGGGGACAGAAATGAATGAGATACTTGTATAAAATAAAGCTCAGCTAGTAAAGCTGCAGTAGGTCTCCCATGGTTAAGGTGAGTGAGACAGCTTGTCAAAATGTCTGACATATTTACTGCTCACTAGCTCTTTGCATTGAAGGAAAGGGCGTTTAACCAACGGAGACAATATCTGATTTAGGAGTCCAAAGTCTGTCCGTGGCAGAGGGAAATCTACTGAGACTAAGGCAAGTGCAATAGCTGTGAGTCTTTAAAACACCAACATGCTAATCAGAGAGGAAGCCACTGAATAATGCAAACACGTCTGCCATTTAACATCACTCAGAGAAAGTGCTTTCGTGTGGTCTATGCTGGCTTAGTGATACGGAAGCAGTGGGAAAGTTGAGAGCTGATCTCAACCAGCGTTATTGGAAGGGGAATGAAAAGAAAGTCAAGGAGGCTGTGGTCTGACTCTTCAAGTCTTTGGTACTACAATTGCATTCATTTGTTTCTAGCGGTCTATCTGTAGGCCTTGTTTTGTTATACTTCTTTTAATATGTTCTAGCAAGTCTCCTGTTCACCTTTCTGTAGCTGCGGACGCAGAGGGACTTCGGGTCCTCGCCGCTGGCGTCTTTACCCAGATACCCTGGTGAGGGTTTGGGACTCGGCAGCTGGGACAGGGTCTGCGCTCCCTCCCTCCCCAGGCCGCAGCTCTCCCAGATCTCCTGAGTGGCGGCATGGACCATCTTCTCCACCTCTGAGGCGGAGTGGGGCACGACCATGGCGGGCTGCTCAGGTAGCTTAGGGGGCAGGGGCAGAGGGAGCTCGGGTCTAGGTGGAGTCTTAGCCTGCTGTTCCCCGCCGGATGAGGAGACCAGCCCCCCCAGGGCCGCTACGACTGACGGGTCACACCTCCCCAGCCTCTCTTCCTCCTCTTCCTCCATCTGCTTGAGTCGCTGCTGCTCTCTACGAGAGCTGAGGCCAAAGTCCTCGTCAAACCAGTCCTGCTCGTCACCCAGCTCATCGAGCAGCTCGCGGCTCAGTTCCAGCTCTGCTAGTCGCTTGGCGAGCTCCTCCTGACCACTGGCCCCCAACACTGGACTCTCCTGTTTGAAAGACATACACGAAAAGGAGAATTTCACACTCAGTTCCAATCTCAGAAGTCTATAAATATGAACATCTAAACGCTGTATAACTGAGCCAGTCCCATGATAACTGAGGGTTTAGCACCTTTGACCTCGTCTTACATGATATTCATTCTTACAGATGTGTCAAACAAGAGTTTTTCCAGCAAAGAGTCAATAAAGTCTGTCAAAATAAAGTTGGACTTTGACTGAGCACATACAGAAAACAAGTGTTCTACGGGTCAAATCAATATCAAATTGCTGTTCAGTAACATGTTGTTTTGTTTAAAGGCTTTCTGCCCGATTCAGTAACAGGTCACTAAATAATCAGAAGTATACTCACAGGTCGGTTACACAGCTCTGGAGACGAAAGCTCTTCTTTTTCTGCATGTATGAAGAAGGGAAGACCATCTTTTTGTTGCACTGAAGTGAACCATTCTTCTTCTTCAACATGTTCACCAAAAAGGTCTCCATTCATTTGGTTGGCAGCTTCTATCTTTTGCTCTTTGGCCTTTTTAATTTCAGCAAACTGCGCCAAAGTGTCTTTCACACAGTTGTTGAGGAACTTGTCAGTAAATGTTTCCAGTAAGTTTCTGTCCGTTGGATCTCTCTCAACATGCCTGATGTCTGCAGAAAGATCGGCAGAAACAAATTGGTGTTTTGAGTCTACTTCTTCCCTCTGAACGCGGGGAGTGTCGCCCGTCCGACTCGGCCCCCCAAGGTCGATCTCGTCGATATCAGAGATGAGGAGACTGGTCGGTGCTTCTTCAAAATCCAACATTATGTCCTTCGCGTTGCCATTAGAGACGGGAGTCTTGGCTTCTTTGTAATGGCTGGAATTGAGGTGGGATCCGGTCTTGTGAACAGACTCATCAGTTATCTTTTTATCGCCAAACCCAGAGACCTTCTTGTAAGTTTGCTCATTTTCACCATCCAGACTTCCTTCTTTCGGAGACTGACGCTCATCTGTTAGGCGTTCATCTCCGCCTTTATCCGACAGACCATCAAAAAACGAGTCCTCATCCTCCGTGGTGTCCGTGTAGATCTCAAACTTGTCCGGCAGGTGTGTTATCTTGTCCGGGGGAGCAAAGATACCGTGGCTCTCATCGCATTCGAAGTACACCACCCCGTCGTACGTGCCGTTGTTGCTCCCCTCAGACTTATCCAACTCCACGCCGGCCCAGAAGCCGTTGGCGAATCTGGTTGGACCTTTGAATCTCAAGGTGCCCGGCTGAACACCGCCAACGAGAACTCGATCTGCGATGCTGAAACTCGGCATTTCATCTCCAACGGGCAAAATGGGTGGTGAGCGGGTGGAATTAACGATATCCTTGTCGTCATGTTTTGAGTCTTCGGTGTGGTTACGAAGATCCAGCAGTCTCGCAGATTGGGGACTGGCTCCACCAGTGCATGAACGGGGACTCAGCTCTTCAGCTAGTTCCTCCTCTACCTCCTCATCGTGGCTGTCATAAGGTGCGTCTCGGCCAGGGACGTTGTCTCTGGAGCTCTTGATCTCTGTAGGGCCGACTGAGATTTGAGAGGGAGGCCCTGAACCCTGACGCACCTGCCTGGGCGAAGAATCCAATGAAGACTCAAAGTCATCATGATAGCCATCTACAACAGGAGGAGAGTCCTCAACATCCTTCATGGTTGCCTCTTTCTTTGAAGGGAAGCCAACAGAGTTGGGGGAGCCGGAACGGTCGCTGGACGAGGCAGAATGTGACTCGTTGGAGAGAATATTCGATTTTACAGCTTCTTCAGCTTTCGATGTTTCCCTTGTCCTTATTCTATCACGTTCTATGCTAACGGATGGAGAATGTTGACCTTCACTCGTGTGAGAGGAAAGATGTTTAGATGCAGACATTTTCTCTCCGGAGTTGAGTCGGTCTTCCTTTTCCAGTTTGAGGAGATGTTCAGAATGTTGTCGATCCTCCAAATGGGAGCTTACTTCCACCTCCGGCTCATCCTGCATGTCGGCTCTTCGATGGGACACAACGATCTCTGCCCCAGAGACAATCATCTGTGCCTGGCCTTCCTCAGAGGAAGTCCTTAAACGTTCCTCCGTGGACAGGGGGCTCCTGGTTCTTGAGGGCGGACACTCTGGGCTGCCATACACTGGAGTCGGAGTGACTGTCGGCGGTTCTTCATCAGACATTTCTTCAGGCACTGAGGTGGAACCACTGTGATCAAGGTGAGATAGGGCATCTGTTTTCACAGGAAAGGGTCACAATTAGCATTGGAACATCTGCGTAAAAACACAACACATTTTCTTTTTACATATTAATTATGATGATGATATCACCCACTCTGATCCAATGAAGCACTTTGCGTCCTTTGAGGTAATTGGCCAGCTTCAGACCTGAGGAAGAATTTGATTTTAGATAAACACCAATCTTTTGTATAAGATATGCTTTCATATCTACAGATGTTTTTTGTACCTATGAGCAGGTGGTTTAATGCCGGTCTGCTCTTCTTTTGAGGTGGAATCTTCAACCTGGGACCTCGTGTCAGGGGTTGAGTCTGGCTCTTTGTTCAGTTCTGCCTTAGTTTTCTCAATGAAGGTGTTATAGCTCTGAAAGGAAAGCGGGAGAATAAGAAAAAGTTTGATAAAGACATAGATGTTCGTACTGTATTTGAACATCAAACCAATAAGCATCAAGAAGCCCGCACACCGACACACAGGTACATATTTACCTCCAGCTGCTTCAGTAGGCTGGCCTCCTTGGCCTTCAGGCGCTCTTTGTTCCTCTTCTTCTGCTCTTTCTTTAGCTGGTAGGCCATAAACTTTCGTTTTCGGAGTTCTCCCTTCAGGGCCTTGATACGGCTCTCTATGTCACTCTGGTCTGAAATGGGTTCTGAAGGGAAATTTTGATTATAAATCACAGTTAGAATGTGAAACCAGTGCCTGATCTCTGATTAGCAGACGGTAATCCAACTTTGTGCCCACTCGAACGCAAACCCAATTCTTCCAAGATTAGTGTACATTTTGTTTACTAGGAATGTGTCATTTTTGAGCATGATGCTTTGGCTTGTACACAATGAACTCATAGTGTTACAAAGACTAAACCGAGGTTTAAACAGTGAACTGAAAATGGATAAAAGACATTCAGCTCCAATACGCGGCCAGCAGAACTGTCTTTGCTTGTGCAGTAACGAAGTTCAACGCATTGTGTTCTCTCTGTCTATCCCACAGCTAAGCAGGTTATGTATCAGGGAAGTGCTTGAATAATGTATTCCTGGCAGCATCACATTATGCCTGACTGCAGAGCGCCAGCGATACAGCTGCATTATGTCCACTCTCGCTTCTATACTGTATACCTTTTATCTTGTTTAAGAACTACCAGGAACTAGTATACGTGTATGTGTGTTGAAATATTGGGTAACTCACCAGCCTGCATCGGCATGAGGGATTCACTTGGCTGAGCCTGGTTGGCGGTCCGGGGCGAGGGGTGAAGCTGCATCTTGGTTCTGCTGCTGCAATCAGAAGGAGAGGCAGCAGGGCTGTGGCTGCCTTTGAGTGGAGACTGGGAAAACAAAACAGCAGGAGGAGGAGGCGGAAGAGAAAGGAATTTTACTTTATGATTTTAAAACGCAGTCTAATAGGGGGGCATGTCTGGATTAATATTGGACATGCCCAATAAACTAGCAAATGTTTAGTTACTCCCTTGCATGTCCTTCACACTGCATCTTTTAAATTAAAAGATGACAAATGACATCATCTAGACAAAATGTCCGACCCATCCCATGCGGGATTAGTTTTAGAGTATATCTTCAGAAAACAAATGGGACAGAACACTGAAATAAAAACCACACGTCTGCATACTTGTCTGCTAGGTGACCGGGAAGCCGAGGTGAAGTCCGGGGTGTAATTTGCGTGGCTGCTCCTCACAGAGGCCAAAGGCGTTTCGATGATGGAATCAGGTTGACCTGAAGACGGGCTTCCTGGTTGCCGGGACGCGAGTCCCTCGGTGTGTATACTGGACCCAGGTGTCGCCGTGGAACAGTCGGCCTCACTCACTAACTCTGAAAACATGCAGGAGAGATGAACATGAGTTTTTATAGATTAACAGTGACCCGATTTGGGCTTTAATCCAGCTATAGGATCCGGCTGCTTCACCTTTGTCGCTGTCAGCTCTGCGCTCTGGGCTGCGATGGCGACTGGAGCTTGGGCTAATGTCGGACACCTCTTTTTCCTGGCTCTCTGCCGCGTCCCGAGCGGTTTGCCCGTCCCATACGGCCAGGGCCTCCTTTTCCATCCTACGAACCTCTGCCTCCTCCCGGTCCAGACGCTGTTTCCACTGCAGCAGCTCCTCAGCATGGTGACGCCTCTGCATCAGCTGCTGCTCCCGCTTAGTCAGGAACCTAAGGAGGGTTAGGAAGGAAGGGAGAAAAGCATGGGGAAAGAGGAAAGAGTGGAAGATGATAGAAAAATGAGAAAGGAAGAGGTTGGGTGTTGAGGGGATAAGGTAAGATGGCAGTGAAGAAGCAGAGAAGAAAAGTTTGACAAAAGGCATTTATCAAAAGGAATGAAAACATTGCAGATGCACGCAGACCCAAATCACCTGGAAATCCAGTTATCACTCACATCAAACACACACATACACACCCAATACATGCTACGCTTAGAGCTTTCCCTGTAATAAACATTCAAATAAAGAAGTGTATAAGCACCCATCAAATAAACAAGCATTGAGTGATGACATGTCACTCGGGAGAAAAGGAGAGCAGGGTCATTAACAGTGAAGATTCATGCATCAGACTGAAACCCAGGGGTTGAACGCTGATTGAGTTCCAAACACACACACACCTCAAACATAAATAGTAGTTAAACAAAATTGAATAAAAAATATAAGTGTAGCCAGTTACATCTGTATGAATGTGTCTCTTTGGTAACAACATTTGGATACACATTATTTTTTTTTTAAAACAACAATTATATTGTCTTTTTTAAAATCTGAAATCCAACTTCCACTAAGTCTGTGTTCAACATGTGATCTGATCTGCAGATCAGAATAAAGTGCAGTCAGGTATAGCTGTTGTGTAATGTGGTCCCCCACAGCTATGGGTGCCATTACAGTGCAGTATCATTTAGCCTAATCTAATTTAGAGGCTTTTCTCTTGACCTAATGCATACTGATGACAGGCCAGATACCGAAGAACCAGACTGGGCGGGGGGGTTCTTTTAGTGGCTTCCCAAACTGTATTACAGCCAATGGTCATCTGTACTTATTACCCATGCAACAGATACCTAATAAAGAGGGCTAGTTAAGATTCACTGGGCTCATTAAAGAGATGGACCACTCTCGTGGTCCGTTCTCTGCTAAAGTCCTTTATCTCCAAAGCATAGTCTGGTTTAATCTCCAATCATTCTGTATCAACAACTGGGCTGGAGCTGACCAGCCAGCAGCCATAAAATGAAGGACATTGGAGGGAGATTCACCGCAACATTAATTCCAAGAGGCAAGAAAGGAGGAGGGGAAGAGTCACAAATTCAACACCACAGAAATCAGTGAAGCCCCAGAGATGTGTCTGAGATCCCATACAACAAGGAAGGCTCCTATTAAAACAAATATAACCTTTAACCTTCACAGAAATTCCTCTCACCTCCATCATTCCCAGGGTTTGTTTGTGTTTTTAATGCTTTAATGCTCATGCTAACATTACTGTGACCGTGCATTTGTTTTAGCGAGGCAGCCTTCCTTGGGCACTTCTCATGCTTTCACTCAACCCTCCTCCCCCGCCCACAAATTTCATCCTGGACACAATCAAACACATCCAATCAGTCATTCTCATCCCACCCCTACAAGTTCCCAGTGCTAGTCGATGAACACAAGCATGTTCCATGGAGTGAGAGTGAGGCAGGGCGGGGTGGGGTTTCTGGGGAAGAGGCAGAGAGCACTGTACAGTACCTGACCAACTGGTTGTAGATAAAAAGCTGGAATTTAGGATGGAGGTTGGGAAGACAGACACTGAGGGAGGCCCACTGGTGGGCCGTGAACACAGAGAGGAAGTAGTGGACAGGAGAACAGTGTCTACAACACACAAGCACGCAACAGACAGAGTCAAAAGGGTCACACAAACACGGGTACAGAGACGCACAACGCAAGAAGGGGGAAAGACATTAAAAACAGACGCAGAGGGAAAAGACAAGTAGAGAGAAAGAGAGAGAAGAGTGATATGAGCAAATGTGGTTTTGTTGCATCCAAGAGTATGTTAGAATATGGCTTCGCTTTGGGAACAAATAAGCGAGAACGTGGGCGTTGACCATGGGGGGCTTTCTGGGGGTATGATCCATGACAAACTTGTGCTTTGGGGGTGTGGATATATGATAGGAGTTATTAGTAACCCTGATTCTCAAACAAACTACAAAGTGGGGCAAAACTTACAAGCTGAGACTAGGGAAAATCCGTTAGTGTGTTACATCAATATGAATAGACACCAACATCTGAGCACTTTTGTGTTTTTTTTTAGATCCACTTAATTATTTTGTTACAGTCAACTTTGGGAAAACTGTTACAACTATCCGACTTATAAATCCCAAACCCCAGAACAATTAACCCACTTGTTAGAGCCACCCTGTCACGAGGGGCTCCACAACCACCTGACCAAAGCTGTTGGCCAAGTCTGGAGGACCTAGAAGACGGCCAATCACATGCAGTTAATTAATGTCACGGGAGAAGGTGGGTGTTGGAAAAAATGATGGAAAGCCTCAACCAATGGTTGTCTTCTCTGGAAGATAAGCATGCCGCTGGAATTGAAAGATGCAGTAGTACATAGTGTTAGCTATTTAAAACAGTTATTGTCTGATGTTCCCGCTTTGAAACACTCGTTAGCAGATAACGCTTACGTAGACCCTCCTATGAATCTGAAGTTACAGGAGGCAGAGAAAAGATGGTGGATTGTTGTCTAGTTTGAAGGGAAAACAACATGGAGCATGCTTATCTCACATTCACACAGGATTTTAAGACAGAAGAACGTACCTATTAGTTTCCTACCTAGTTAGTTAAGTTGCTAGTTTAAGCAAAGACCCCCTGTATAGAACTAGAACATTTACAACTTATGTTGGCTTATAATGGCAGAAATTTCACTTCAAAAAGCTCACAATAACACGTATTACAGGATCAATCAAGCTTTACCATTTTGAATGAAAGCCCCACTTTAGGCGTTGAGTGTAAACGGTGATGTTATGCAAGAAAAAAGTAATATGAATAATATGGTATGGGAAAAAGTGTTTTAGGGGCCAAACTAAAAACTAAATATAAAATATAAGAAAATATTTTAGAAGCAGAGAAGAAGCAAACAACCCGGCAAAAGGCAGCAGGATGTCACTGATCAGGGTTGATCACTCCAGATAATAATCAATAAAATGTAATTAGACATAGAGAACACTATATGTATATGAAACGGTCTTTACTTCTCATCCATTTGAGAGCGCATCTTCTTGAGCCTCTGCATGATGCTGCTGGTCTCACTTCCAGAGATGGATTGTGAGGGCGAGGGGCAGCGGATATTATCCGGAGGTCTCGTATTGGGGGGGGCTGCCTCGAACACGGGGGTTTCTGAAACAGGAGTCTCCTGAGGGGTTGGATGGACATGCAGACAGACAGACCGTACATTATTGACACCAATTAAAAAAAACAACTTTAAAAGCTTCGGATGAAAATGGCAGCATGTTCCACAGATATAAGTATCCTTTCTTTCTTTCTTTCTGATTGTTGCACTACTCACAGACAGCGCTTCATCCCCAGCATATTTGAGACGTTCCTTCAGTCGGAGTGTCGAGTTTCTCATCCGCTCAATCTCCTCCTGCTGCTTCAGCAGAAGCTGCCTTTCCTTCCTGGCGGCTTTGTTGGCCTCCTGAAGCCGCCTAATCTCAGCCTGGGGACAGCAGCACAGTGGGAGAAAAAGTTGGGTTAGTAGAGCAAAAGGTTAAGATCAGAGTGGTCCCCTGGAGCTCAACTGCCACTGGATGTCCTTATACTTGCGCCCACTTGTACCTGTTCCTGCTGTAGTTTCATCAGAAGGCCCCTCTGCTTCTTCCTGATGGGTGGCATCTTGTCGTCCTCGCCCTTGTCCCTCAGCCTCTTTTTCTGGTGCTCTAGCCAGGCCAGCTCAGTTCTTGTCTTCTCTTTGACAGCTTTCTGGCGGAGATGCAGCAGGGAGCTCTGGTGCTGCAGTCTTACCTCCTCGTCCTTCATGTACTGACGCACCATGTCCATCGTGAACTGCGAAAAGCTGTCCTGTCCGCCAGAAAATGCCATGTTTGCATCGTGGGACTGCGGGAGAACACAGATGAAATGACAGAATGTTAGAATCGATTGACAGAAACTTTTAAAAAGGAGATTAAAAAGAGGCAAAGGAAAACAGGAGAAGTAAAGTGACACAAACCACAAGGAACATTCAGGCAAAAAATGTCACTGTCGACTACACAGTCTGCTCACCTTTAAGATATTGTGTGCCCCTGGAACCAATGTTGTGTTGTGATGGGCTCCATCGTCCTCCGATTCCTCATGGTGGTGGGTCTTCTTCTCCATAGTTCCGCGGCGGTGCGCCTCAGACGGCAGCAGAGAGCGGAAGGAACGTTCTTCGATCTCATCCTCTGTCATGGACTCATCGAATTTGAGGGAGTACTCCGTCGCCACTGACGTACTGTCTGCTGCAGGGCCATAAAAAGGATGAGCTCAAATGTTTAGATGCCTCGTGCACGAGTTTTGAAAACGGCATGTTGATTTATAAACAGAGAGCCCTTCTTGCCGCCCATCCAATACCTTTCTCATCCACTACAGAGGGGATGCTGTCACTGCAGACGGAGTCATTGGCTGCCGTTAGAACTTCCTCCTCTATGGAGCTGCTGCCTGCTTCCCTCCCCACCTTCTCTTCAGCGCCTCCTTTCCTCCATTGCGCTTCTACCGCCTCTTTTTTCGCCCGTTCCCTCTGCTCTGGCGAGGCGTGCGACGGGCTGTGATGACTGCTAGAGTCTGCGCCACTGTGAAAGAGGGCCAGGGACAGATTTAATGTCACTACGTTTCGTTCTGTCTTTCCCAGATCTAATGGGAATCGGAGAACCTAGCGCAACAGAAGAGGCCTGTGTTATACCTGAGGTCCGGTCTTCTGAAGGAAAGAGAATCACAGATACTGGGGCTGTTCCGTGAAGACAACGGTTCTTCTGGCATAGTGTTTCTGCTCGACACATCGCTAGGGAAGCTGTAAGAATGTAGAAGAGACCTAGACATTTAGATACAACATTCAAAATGGAGGGCAGTATGCAATATATAATGGAAAAAGGTGTTTTTAATTCACCTGTCAGAGTCATTTTTGTAATTTCGCTGCTTTGAGTAGGAGCTGTGTTGTTGCTCCTGTTCCACGGAGGAATCCGAAACATCAGGGGGGACAACCAGAGCTCTCGTTATCTGCGACTGTGCCAGTTCTGTCATCTGACAAAGAAGAACACAATATACCGATCAAATGTCTTACACGGAATATAACCATTTCCTTCTCTGCATGTGGCTTTTCCGAAAACTCAACAATCAATCGGCTTTTGTTACGAAATGAGGACACGGGCTGTTTTCCAGGCAGGGATGGCTAACCTCTTTGATGTGTCGGGCCGTGTCAGCTGTGTATCGTGCTGTCTCAGCCTGCTGAGTCATCAACTTGGTAGTTGCCTCCTGGAGGCCTTTCAAGGTCTCCTTTTGATTTGTTGCCAAGTTGTCCTGCAGTTCTATATGAGCCTGGACCAAAACAAGCATGCCCATCATACAAAGGAAAATACATGCACACATACTATAGAAGGGAAAAGGTGAGGAAGCAAACATTAAAGCTATCATTTACAAATACATATTGTTTGTGCGAGTAAAGTAACCAATGGACCGTGTGTGTGTGTGTGTGTGTGTGTGTGTGTGTGTGTGTGTGTGTGTGTGTGTGTTGGTTTTACCCGGGCCACTCTCTGCCGGTTTTCCTCTAACTGTAACTGTGTCTCCAGGGCTTCCCTTTCCGCCTTGATCTTTAGCTCATAGAGGTCACGCGCATGGGACTCTTGCCTGGCCTGCAAGGTCAAAGTTCAGAGACCGGGTCAATACAGTGCATCAATACAGACATTAGTCAGGAAGTATGTCAATTAAATCTATGTAGGCCAAAAAAACCCCACTTATGATAATATTTATCATGCAAATTTGAGGCGGCAACAAAAAATGTAAGTCCCAGATAATATTATATTATTATAATAATAATAATTTAATTTAAGTACAGATGTTGTAACAAGACAAAATGATTACAACCATCAAACTATTAGGTTTCATAAAAACTGTCAAATTATCACTCATCAGAATCATTAAAGCTGTGCGTAATTTTCATCTCAATTGTTCAACATGAATATAAACTCAGTCTTCACCTTGAGCATCTGGGCCAGGGAGATGCTCTCCTGCTGAGCCATGGACACGCCCATCACCCTCTCCACGTCTCCCAGATGTCGGACCGACTCCTCGTAGGACTCCAGGTACTCTAGCTCTGCCGCCATGCGCTGCTGCAAGACGGCAGGTGAATACTGTAGTTCACCTGAGAGAAAGAAAGAGCGGAGAGAGATGGAAGGAGGGGGGGTGGGGAGTCGACTAATTAAAGGGTTGCTGGAGTGGGTCGGACCGTTTCCCTCTTCATCTCTACGTTTGTTGCACATCGTATCAATACAAGCAGCATCTACCTGTGGTCTTGGGCTCGGCTCTGCCATTGCGAGCTGTGGGGCCTGTGTTTGGATAATTTGCACTTCGCCACCCAGGTTCACTGGGGGAGCCTGCCTCTGGGGGAGAACCAGAGTATGGAGAGCCAGACGGAGAAGCTTGTTTAGGCCTGGCGGCTGGAGAGTTCCGACTGTCAAGACCCAAACTACAAATATAATAAGAGAAAAAGAAAGAAAAAAAAAAAGCTCAGTTAGGTAGTGAGGGAACGATCAATTACGATTGTGAAACCCAACAACATATCTTCTAAAGTGGATGTTTGTAGACTTAAATGTATGACTAGATGTTTAAAAAAAAAACATTTATTCAGTAATACATTTTGTTTATTGTTTTCTCCAACAAACTAATTTCAAAATAGTATTTCAAGTCATATGTAGGAAAAAGGGTCTCTGCAAGATTTGCAGAATGGGTTAACCAAATGAGAAAGAGCCCCTCATGCCTCAAAGTGACTGAGGCAGCAAAGCCCTGCTGTGAGAGGCCCAGACTATGAATGGCTATATTGTGCAGCTCAGAAATGGCAAAAGACGATGACTAAATAGATCAGGATACACTTTACCTCCCATATAAGGATCGCATGCTGTGGAAGCCTTTTTTTTTTCCTCAAGGATAACAATCAGACTCAATTCATATATTATCATACAAAGATACTGGCTTGATCTCAATGCTGAAACAGTTGCCTTTCATAACAGTAAGAGGTATGAATGCAATCTGCTAAAAACCTACAAAGCTCATTGAGATCTACCGTGATACATGGACTGTTGCTGAATAAATAAAAACATAGTTAACTACACTTTACTCAAAGCACCATTTGCAAAGAAAATGCATGTTTCTAAATGGCGCTTTAAGGGACTCTGTCACATGGATTTAAAAAAAACCATTAAAAGGGATCAAATGCCACTCCTTTGGCTGCCGGCCTGAGTTGTGGTGAAGCTGGCTGACCCGACCAACCGCCCTGCAGGCCCCCAAAACAAAATAGCCACTGTTTTCTCTCTTTGGTTGAACTGCAGCCTCATTTGGTTGCTGGGTACTAAATGGCTGTTAAAAACCCTCGGGCCTTCAACAGAACAGCACGCCACAAGAGTGTTTGGACTGGCAGACTCAGCTACGACTTTCCCAAGTGCAGTTAAGCAATTAGTCATGCCAAGATAAATTAACCTCCGGTTTATACAGTATATACACCAAGTGGAGAATTCTGAGTGACTGGAACTTGAGGCCCAGTGCTTAAATTACAATTCAGTTTTAGCAGAAATACAGCGTGGCTTCACGGGCTGATTTGTATTTGTATCCAGTAAAAACAAAAGCTCTAGGAAAAAAAGCAATACAATTATCATGTAATGCGACCCATATAGAAATATCCTAATGCAAGGCAATAGCACCACTGATGCTCCCACAAAGCGTTTCACTACGGGTTGGACTGAAAAAAGCTTAAATTGAAAACTTGCAGATGGAATGTTTTACGGTATTAAGACAGAACCGTAAGCTATAAACGTCCCCTCTGATGTAGTTTGTTGAAGATGGTTACCTTTGTTGAGAAAGCCCTGAATGTTCCCCTGTGGTGTCATTAGAGGCGGCACTCTTGGTCTGGCTGTGGGTTGAGCTTTTGTCTGAGCCCCTCTTCCTGGAGTCAGAAGAAAACTCCTCTGAAGGCGGTGAGCAGGGACTCCTCTGCTCTCCTACCAGGGTGCCATCACTCTGGTCTGATGCTGTGCCTGCAGAGGATTGGAGTAGTTTCATTGTGCAGAAGAGGGATTTGTGAACTAATATAAACAGCATTTCCCCATATAGACCAAAAATAAACAATAGGAGTTACGCAAAACTATCTCTTCTCACCTCTTTTTCTGGCAGAGTGCTTGGAGAAGGGTGAAGAGCCAGATGTTGAACCAGAGGAAAGATGCGGCGAGTGAATAGACGAGTGAAAGGATGAATGGTAGGAATTGATGCCTCCTATACTTTTTTCATAAGGAGACCTTCTCATCAGCTCCTCAAAATGGCTGTTCACACTGGCAGAAAGGGGAGAACAAAGTATGATCAATCAGTTTGAAATACAACTAAAAATAAGAAATATAAATATTCCAAATGAATATTGAGTAAAAAAAAAAAAAAAAGCTTATTCTAAGGAATCTGGAAAGGAAAAATATCTGCACTCCTGAATGCAGAGGTGACAGCTGTCTGAAAGGGCTGCACGGGATTTCTATTCATAGGACATGAATGCCATCCAGTGGTCACTTTAAAAACAGCTGCCCACCCCTTTTTAAAAAATTTTCTTACCTGCGAGAATGGGAGCCTCTCTTTAACCGGCCACTGGCTCCGCTGCTGTGTGATGACACAAAATCATCTTCATAGACAGCTGCGTCCACGAGACCATTTGCAGAGTTTAAAGAACGGGCTGAAGGAGAGTTCCTCTCACTCACTACAGGACAAAAAACGGAGGAGAAATACTGTCAGTATGTCAGTTTTACTAAGATAAACATTCTGTGTAACTCTTATGGTTACACATTTTTAAATGTTTACCCATAGATACTCAGTAAAAACGTTTTTGCGCCGTTTCCGATCAAACATCAAAGACACATTCAGTGAAAAACACTCATATGGGAACTAACCTGCGACATGGCCATGAAGATTCTTAGTGAAAATGTTGATTACACTTAGAGGGCTTCCCTTGTTCAGCTCCTCCCAGGCTGCTTTACCACCGTCATGCTGTGCACCGGGTGAGCTGAGGGCCGAGCACTTTGCTGCCTCTCTCTGGAACTCTGACAGCCGCTGGTAATCCCTTCTTTGATCCGTGCAGCGGTCCACTGTCATCAGGCGATCTGCCGATCTAGGTACGCGATTGTGGGAGGGCTGAGGGGGGCTCGGATCATCCTCAGAAAAACTCCCTTCACTCAGAAGAGGACCCTCGCTGATGGAACCAGCACTTGAGTTGTGGAGGTCTGTCTGACTCCTTTCCTTCCCGTCGTTCAGTCCACACCCCGCCCTTTGTTCCACTCTCTCCACCGTGTCCAGGCCGTTGACCAGCCTCCCCTTTAAATGAGCGTAACTGTTGAGAATTGGCGTTAGACCAGCAGTTGTTTGTGGATTAGTCAAAACGGTGTGTGTGCCTTTCTCTTCTCTCTCTCTCCTGGCGGCGTGCAGATCGCCTGTTCCTGGAAGAGCTGTGCCATTGTACGAACTATGACCTGTACTAGTCAAAATCCTCTGGATCCTCAAGGCGACGCCATCGTTCTCTGGAGCGGCCGTTTCTGCCCAGCAACCATCAGCAATATTACCTTGAAAGGGTCTAATAGCATCCCCGTCTATTGATGTTTCAATGCCGTAGTTGATCCCCTCCCCAGCGAGCTTGCGGGCCTCGCTCTCTATTCGGTTGGAGAGGGACGCGGCTGTGGCCTTGAGCGCCTCAATGCGGGTGGACCTGTTGGCAGGTGCCGTGGCCGGCCGCTTGGTGTGCTTTAGGTCACTAGCTGCCAGCGCAGTCTCCAGCCGGAGAAGCTGTGAGAGGAGAGGATCCCCGAAAGGCGCCATCCCACTGCTGCCGGGACCAGTCGTAGGATGACCAGCCGGGCTCAGACGGTCAGGCTGAAGCAGAGAGGCAACACCAATCTCCAGGTCATTCCTGCAGTGGGCAGAGCGACCACAGATGGAGAAGTTCAATGGCAGTGACAAATAGAGATGCAAACATCTTTAAAAAGAGGTCAAATAAAACGTATGTGTGTGTTTTAGGCTCTTTGCGTTTGCCAATAGCAAAGTGATTTTAACGAACTTGCCTTCAGAACTACAATATTGTAAAAATAATCTGATTATCTGCAACCAGCAGTACATTTAGCGGAGAGTCATGTTTTTACTGCTAAGCCCCACTTATCAGCATGTGAATCGAATTTTAGGTCCTTAATTCCATTGGATACAAACATCTTGGGAATTTTCTAAATGATTACACCTACCACTTTTTTAAAAAAAGGTTGACGTTCACGTTCCGCTCTTCCATACAAAAAAATATAACTTTAGTTTTAATGAAGTGAAGCCATTTTTCCACCAGTCTAAAACACAATTGTTAATGTTGCAGAGAATAATGAAAACGATAAACATACAAAGTAACTGGATGAAACACTTAAATGACAATAACTATAACCACCAAATACATACTGGGAAGGACCATTATTTGTATCTGTCTGAAAGCTAAAATCAATACCCGCATTCATCTCTATTTGCATTCAATTATATGAAAAGTTCTTTTAATTCATCTAAACCATTCACTGTAAATGTGCCTGAAAAGCCAACTGCCTGGGAACAAACAGTTCCTCTGTTTGATAGTCGGATGATTCCCTAGAATGTATCGCCCACACATTGGCTCTCACACAGTGGCTTTAAAAAGAGTTTAACCACCGCCTTCACTTTACTTTTTTTTTTTCTGAATCTGAACATCTCTGCATGCATCGGGGGCGTTGAGTGTTGGGGTTAATTTTCTCTATATAAATAATAAAGTCAGTTAGAAGTGTAACCAGGCCAGAAGAGAGCATCCTGATATTATAAAAAAAAAAGATGGACGTTCTTTACATGCAGGTTTATGCGAGTCGCCATCCAGGGAAAAATCCCCTGTAGCTTTGAAACGATGGTTTAACCATATATCCTCTATCTCATGGGCTCTTATTTACAAGTTGCATTCATCATGTTTATCCTGGTAATTTACTAATTTACCAGGATAAACTTATTTTAAGGAGACTTGTGCGATTGCGCTCAGCAAAACAAAGTAAGAGAGGTACTACAAAAAAGTTCATGCATCATGAGGTCCATCACTTCCAGTAGATACCAGATTGAGTTTACTGTTGTTATTCTGGGTTGATTGTCATAGTAAACAAATCGCAGTTGTTGTTGTTCAGCAGTGATGAGAGTTGAGCAGATAGATGTGTGGGTCTCTCTGCGCGTGCGTACCTGGATAATGGAGGTGGTGGCTGCTCATTCAAAGACCTATCGCTGCTCGAGGGACTCTGCGGGGCCTCCAGTCTTTTGTTCTCTTTGTCCGACTCTCCGGAGGGCTGGTACATCGGCCTCTGCTGCAGAACATGTGTTAATAAACATCTAACCCTCCATAAATACGGTAACCATGAGTCATGTGTATGTGTAATACCATGGGACTGAAAGGAGCAGCGAGTTGTCTCCCTGTGGCCTCCCTGTCCAGCTGGGCCTCCTCCAGAAGCAGTTTGGTGTAAGTCTCCTGGAGTCGCTTCTGGACCGGGGCCACAGGCGCCCCGCCAGGAAGGGCCGCCGTTTTAGCCGCTTCTTTTTGCTTCCTGTAGAGGTCTTGCAGCCTCTGGTTTCTACTCTCCGCCTCCTCTCTCTGCTGCCTCTTCTCCTCAGCACGTCGCCTCTTCCTCTGCTCTTGTTGTCTGGAAATGTACTGGCGAACTGTGTCCGCATCGTAGTGTCGTTTCTTCTGCCCGGCGTCCGCGGCCTCTGATCGGCGCGCGGCGGGGCTGGCGCTGCGGCAGCCTCTTGAGTAGCTACCCGTGGTCGCCGTAGATCCCCAAGCAGAGACCGGAGCCCTTGTTCGTGACCCTGAACCCCCTCTCCCTCTCGTACCGCCGCTCCCTCCCCGGGACCTTTGCCGGGACCGCTCTTCCCGTTCAGCTGCTCTACACTCCAGCTGAAGGTCATCAAGTATCCCCTGGATGTCCGCTGACAACAGGTCCGTAACTGCACCCCCTGGAGCCTTCCCCTGATCTGCAGAAGAGGGTGTAGATGCGTTTGTGGAGTGGCTTTTGGATTGAAATCCACGTTGAGGCCTTTCTGTGCTGTTAGGACAAAGCCGCGGGTTTGATTCCGCACGCGGGGCTGAACTGGAGGCGTGACGGGAAGCTGATGGACACAGGGAAAAACATTTAGCAACATAAGCACACCATTTCTGAACATTTTAATGCTAAACTAATCTTCTGAAGTAGAAACTAGGGGACATCACATTTGCTTTCACCATTATAACCAAGGGGTCATCGTTCTTTACCTCTTTTTTTAATTCCTTATTAGCGGTATACAATAATATGTTCAATAAAGGGTTTTTTGCAGTTTAGGATGACCTGGGTGTGTCCGAAGCTAGAAGCATACTAGATGAGGCTTGTGGGGGCCGGATTGCCGAGGAAACTCTAATCTGGGTCCAATAGAAAATTCCTGTCTAGATTTTAAGCATCTAATCCTGAATTGTTGGCTGCAGTGAGCCTCTCCCTGCTCGGTAGTCTCTGGAAATCAGGCCACGTCTGATTGTGCACCAACCCGGAACAGCCAGTCAATCTATATTCCTTCCGGTCAATGGTACCCTTTACAGACTCAGACTACCGGAGAGTGGGACACAGTCTGGGTCCATGTGACCAGTGGCAGCAAAAGACAATTATTTATTGATAGTCTGTGTTGTTTTCCGTCTAAATTCCAGATGGGCAAAACACGGCTACAGATATTATTGTTTTAACACAGTCCATATATACACACACAAGTACAACAACGACTCCATTACAGGTAATAGCAACGAGTACATAAAGGTGTGTTGAATTTGAAGGGTGGAAGTTTAGGAGCAACATGAGGACACAAAGAAGGAGGAAAGCAGGCAAATAAAAGAGTAAAACGTTATCCACTCTCTGGTGGTTAAGTCCTTTTCCACATGCCACTCAACTTAAATAATGCAAAGATGGCATTTTGACAGCAAGCTCAGATATTTTGAGTGGCTCTTTAAACCCTCGAAGAAAGCTTATCACCTTCAGCAACTTGCCCCGCTGGCTAGTCCAGCCGAGCAATATCATCAGAAAAAAGGTTAGCCGAGTCGGCTGTTGGACTCACGAATGCGCTGAACATTGCAAAACAAGAGAGGGGGTATTGCGGCAAGTATAGAAGGGTAGAGCAGTGTTTTTCAACCAGTGTGCCGCGGCACAAAAAAATCATTTTTTACATACTGTCACTTCATTGGTGAAAAAAAAGCCAACTTGTGTGTTTGTGTCGTCACACTGTTGGTGGTATGAAGGCTCAATACTCCCCTCTGCCTGTGGGGGGCGGTACGCAGCGTAATTAATAGGCAGATTTGCTGAGGCGACAATTTAAAAAAGTGAGATTAAGAGATACCTGGGCATGAAGCCTGTGCTATCTTGGCATTATGATGATGTTAAGTTTAATAAAACACAACAAATCGAACACGCGTTTCCCTGATTCCTTAGAGTATATTATGCTCATGCTGAAATTTTTTCTGTGTCTTAACACAGTCCTTGACACAAAAAAGGTTGAAAAACACTGGGGTAGAGTATGGGTCTCCATGTCCCACCTGTTCTGCTCGGTCTGTCGGCTGGCTGCGACCTCTCCTCCTCCCTGGGCAGCCTGGGAACTGGACCCAGTACCATCTTCACCAGCTTTTGGCCTTCCCGCCATGATGCAGGGCTAATGGCTACAATGACAAAGAACCGAGAATTGCAAATTCAGTATTTATCATGCAGATCTCATGGAACGAGACTGCAAGCGTTATCGCATTAGGTAGACATGCCACCATCGGAGCAAGTGACCAGAAAATAAATATAGTACAAGTAAAAAGTTTAGACAAAGCGTGCAAACTTTGGATTATATACACAAAGATAAGAGAATAAAGAAAAAAAAAACATTCACAAGTCATTGTGTGGGAGAGCTGACGAAACAAACTTGTTTTTGTACATTTTCCTCCTTGCCTCTAGTAACCATCTGGCAGATGAATTGTTTTGTTTTAAATTTCACATAGTTATCCCTGCCAATCTCTGCTGCTGAGAGTTCTGCCATCAGCCCAGTACAATGACAATGTGTAGAATTGCATTTGTGGTGCTCAGGGCATTGGAAAATGACATTCAAAAAACAAGAATGTCTTTTAACACAGGCTAATCTCTGGAGCGCTCTCCACTAGGACTGTATTCTACTGAATTACAGCTCCTGGTAATGAAGTTGTACAGCCACTAAGCGAGCAGCTGTTTGTACTGGGTGGATGAGCAACTGAACCTGGCCCCAGATTTCAGAGGGCTATTTATAGGATTGTTCCAGCGAGAGAGAGAGAACCCCCAGACTTGGAGACACAAAAGTTGGCATAAGCACAAGTATACACCAGGCACAGAGTTAGATAGATAGATAGCTTGTGAAAAGGAGAGGTTTCATTTAATATCAGCTGGCCGGCTAACCATATTTCTTCGCTATATTCTTCCATCGACAGACAGTTACATATAGAAATATATAAAACAATATATTTCTCTACGTTAAGGTCTACTCAGACACACGATGAAGATATTTAGAAATCATGTTTACATGCTGCTGTGCACAGTATGCAGCAGTATGTGGCTATTATTCTTCTGTGTTGGCGTCTGCAGGCTTCACAAACTGCATGTTACGCATACTGAACATTTCTTCAGGGATTAGCGTCTTAACACTGTGTTAGAAGCCAGAGATGTCTCTGCTTCATGAACTCAAACACACGTGTATGGGACAACTAAGTAGATGGTTTTGGTCCATATGTACCAACCTATAAAATTATGCCAGATTGTTCAACATATTTGACATTTGAAAATAAATCAACAGTCGGGCCGGCCCCCGGATATGAAATAGGATTATTATACCTGGTTTTGTACTAACGCCAGAGGAAGGGGCAGCTCTGTGGACCTTCCTGACTGGTTTGGTAGGCCTCCTTTCTTTGGATCCATCTGCGCTTTGTTCCCTCTGCTGCTGCTGCTGTCTGGATATGGTGCTCTCTGTGCACACAAGACAAAAGCAGAGAATAAGCAACAATAACTCACAAAAAACATCTAAAAAGCTGCCAATTGGCTGCAAAACAAGCCCTGTATCCAGGATCAAAAATCTCTGATGTTATAAAAACCAAAGACTATGCGCATAAATCATGTTTGTTGATGTAACTCTTCTCTACGGAAAACAGCCAAACCATTTTTTGCGCCCCTAAGAGCTCAATACCCCTTCGTGCCATGCATTCATGTGCCATCAGAAGATGTTAGTGTCCTATGTTTACCAGCAAACTGTCGTGACAGGTCTCTGTATATTTCGCTGCTGAGGTTATGGAAATCCTCCTCCTTCCAAACTCTCCCATCGGCAGTCCGGATCTTTGTCTCAGTTGTGTTGAAACCTGGAAGAATAAAGGATTTAAGAAGTAAGCGGGAGCATCCTGTTTCCCACTAAAAAGAGATCCTTTAGATACCAAAGACATTTAGTTATTTATATATTACTATCTTTGAACATCATTTAAAGTTTGGAATACATCCTACAATGACGGTACCTTTGTATATAGGTGCAGGAGGTGCAGCCGCTACTTTCCGTATAAGGGCCGTGGGCATGTTGCTGGTACCGGCATTGTTACTCCCCACAGCTGCTGTAACTGGCTGTTCCAGATAGCCCAGCAGCTTTTCTCTCTCTGCAGACTCTTCCAGATGTTGCCTCTGCCTTCGAATACGCTCTTTGAGCTTCTCCAGCTTATCGTCAGGTTGATGTCGCCTCAGGTTCTCCAGCGCTGGGAAGCTGAGCCGGGGCTGGTGGAGGGAGTGCTCTCCGTTCGGTGCGTGGAGCCTCGGGCCGCGGCTAGACACGGGCTCGACTCTTGGCTATCCATACCAGGTTGTGCCTCCCATGCAGAGACTCTTACAGCCGTGAGATGTGCCTGCTTTCCAATAGTCCTCAAGGTGTCCAGGGCTGGCTGGTCATTGAGGTAGCGAACCTCTGTGCTCTCCAGAGCCGAGGAGCGTGTGCTGTCAAGGTCCCCGTCCGTCTGCTTATCCCTGGTGTCTCTTTGGTAGACCAGCTGGCTGAGCAGAGGATCGGAGGGGGGCGGAGATGATGGGTGCGAAGGCCCTGGCACTGACTGCAGGCTGTAGGCCTCCAGCGGAGAGGAGGGATGTGGTGGAGGGGTGACCTCCCTGGACACAAACCAGATTACAGGAGATCAGAAAAGGGGGATAAAGATTAATTTACCGCTCACTGAGTATACAGAGGGGCACAGGGTGAAACCGGTGAAGAAGTTCATGGATGGGAGGCATTGAACTAAATGGAAATGTTTAACCACCAGAAACAAGACTTAAAGTTTCGCAGGTGTAACTGAAAACAGAAGAGGCTTGATTCTTTGAAGTGCCTGTGAGACATTGAGCTATAATCTATTCAGAGGAGATGTCAACGCCACATGGTCTCTGAACTGAAGGAGCGTTTGGGAACTGACTGTTACTCAGTAGAAAATGAAAACATCACAGCCCAGTGTGGGAATAAACCTGTTATTCTGTTGTCACTCTATAGAGCGCCGACACACTTGATTTCACAACTAGATTGATATCATCTAAATACCATTTACAAAGTGTCATAGAAGATTTGGAAAAACAGTTACCAATGTGATTTCATCCGAGCTTGAAAGCATCAACGACAGATATCCAGACCAGTGCATGAAAGAACAGCCTCTTGTCCAAATACAGCAACGGGCCCAAAGAGAAGAGGCTAAAGATGTTTCATACACGCATTTTGAGGCAGTCTTTGTACCTGTAGGAGGCCAACGGTTCCCTGAACTCCACGCTGTTGTTCCTGCGGACATTGCTGTCCTGGGTGGCGTTTCTCAGTGGGCTGCGTGAGCTGCTCTTTTCTGGACTCTGTTGACATCGTCCCCTGCGCTTTGAAGACCCCCCAGGGTCATCCGCTTGTTGGCCGTCTATGATAGATACGACAACGTTAATGCAACAATAGTTTGTAAAATAGAGTGTAGAATTCAACTTGTGGCGATGACTCTGTGAAATAACTCACCCTTGCAGCGAACCGTCCTGGAGGATTTTTTCTTTGGGGGGTCCATGACAGAGTCCATGACCACCCCTGTGCCTGGGGCTGCCTCTAGACGGTTTTCTATATGCCGCAACTACAGAGGGAGAAGACGTGTAAAGACTCCCCGAGTCATGCGACGATGACGGGGATTCATGTTCATCGGCAATAGCTATTGCAGTGTGTATTTCATAGTAAAGACATTCAGCGGAGAGCTGTTCCGTGTGTACTTACAGCAGCTTTGGACTGGGACAATCCTTTCCATGCATTTGTCAGCTCTGACAAAGAGAATGAAAAACCATGTTGATAGATGATAAGAGAACTACTTGCTACGTAATCAACTGAAATGATTTGTCTAAACGTGTTTCACATAAAGTGCTTCTTCGAAAACCAAAACAACAATAAAACTAAGTTGCCATCTTTACACACCTGTGCCAATATTGTGATCCGTAAGATGCTGAGCAGATTTCTTCAGCGACACTTCAGGCCTCCTGCTGCTCCTCATCTCTCTCATTCAACCTGAGCAAATATCGGAAAAAGGCCAATAATAAAAACCAGTACTAAGCCAAAAGACAAAGACCTACTCAATAATATTAACGGCCTTAAAACAGAGCAAGTTACAATACAGCCATCGGGCAGATAAAACAAAAAGAATGTTGGCGGAAATAAAAACAAGAGGTAAAGAAACCTCTTTCATACGACGACCTAAAGAAACAAGACTTGAAGAAGTGTATGACAAAATTTGCTTTGCCCAATTACTTCCTATTGTAAGACATACCTAGTATGACAGCCGACTGATGTCAGCTCACCATATAAAACCGGTTCTACAACTGCACATTCCTCTAAATGATATGCATGTCGGAAGGTGGGTGGAACCAAAGTCTGTCATCTGACAGCCATAACATGTTTACTTCAAGCACCTGTTCAGGTGGAGCACAGAGTCTGGTGTTACATCAGTACTACTCTCGTAAAGTTAACAACAAAATCATATTCACTTGTTTGGTTTTCTCTTCCCTTCCCGAGACAACGGTCCGCCGTCGTCGTGTTGACAGATTTGCTTGAATTAGTTAACAGAACTGTGGATTGATAAGCAAAATGTAGCCTGGCTTCCTGGTGTTTGAGTCATTGAGTCCTCAGTACGGCCTTAGAAGTCATGCTCTTTATTCACAACTATAACGAGACACCGCCGGGGGGGAAATAATGGCAGAGCAAGGAGGAGGCAAATAATATCTCTGCATTTACAGATTTGGTTTAGACAGTGATGACTGTGACTCAAATAATGAATGATTGTATTTTCTGTTATTTGAATCCAGAAGGGACAGAATCCATAATCTATGGTAGACAGTGGCAGCTGAGACTACATACCTTTAGACAGATGTAAGACAGTGATGTACAGACCATAGAATATGTCCACGTTGTCCTCTTATGGAGAGAAGCTGACGTCAGCTACTTTTAGCAGAAGTTGGGACTGAATAGTGCAAACGCCGGCATTACGTGAAACCCTTCTCTTGATCGGTTAACGACCAGTAATTCAAGTTAACCACTTATTTCACCGGAGATCCAGTTGCTCTCCGTCGAATATCGCTCCTGTATTGCTGTCGGAGACGATCCGTCGAAGCTCATTAACCTCGTTTACTAACGTATTTTGAAAGTGAACAAAACCATTAAGGGGAAGTTGAACCCATCGGGACAAATATGAACGATGGCAGGTGAACTTTAAAAGGTGAGAAACCAAATGAATTCCCCAACTGGAGAGCGTGTGTTTTCCACTAAAACGACCGAACCCGAGTGGAATATTTTCTGCTTCGCTTACCGAAGTGTCGCCCCGTGGTATCGACTCGGCGTGGAAGCCTTCGGGTGACCACACACACGCGCGCGCGCACGTAAGGACATGTTGCAATATAGCTTCCGACCGGTGATGTCATTACTCTGCAAAACGACAGCTCACCGGTGCACTTCCGTTCGCCAATGGAGCAAATGACGTGCTATCCTTGACTTTACATGGCGTGTATTGACTGACTTTAATCACAGGCGCTTCGTCAATGGTATTAGTATTACTCTGTATTCAATTTAGGCGACTTCATATTTTCTACAAAATTAGAAAACTAATTTAATATTTAGAAAAAATATTTAGAGAACCTGAATTTAACTCACATCGGGAACTGTGCAACAACTATTTAAACGCTGGCTGTGGTTGGTGTTGACATCGGCGTTGTGGTCGTTGGGACAATTTAACTCCATCAATACCAAGTTAAACAGTAACTGATGGTCATCTAGTAGCTCCACAAGTCACAGTCCACAAAAGAACAGTGTCAAAGCTGCGACTGAAAGAAACACCCTGTGCGGGAATTTCTCCCCGGTACACTGAAAACCGATCCTTCCTTAATCTAACGTTACTTCCCAGGGTGAATGTATAACTATGGCATTAATGGTTTATAACGATGAAATAAATGATTTAAACATCGTGAAGTTGGCAACAACTGTGTTTTTGGTATATAACGTTAGTGCAATCGTTGGCAGTCCAAACATTAGGTCTGCAACTTAGTCGAAGATCTGACTTCGAGAAGACTTATTTGTGAATGTCTACGGTCCAGTGAATAGTCGCAGCCGCTAACTCGAGAGAGTTGACGTTAATCCGAGTTGACAGGAAAGTCGTGAATTAACTCAGTGGACCAGCTATTTCGAGAGACATTATACATACCTTTAGGGAAACAATCCAACGTGTTTAGATGTCCAAAGTCATCCTGACATCTCAATAATGAAGAAATCCTTACTTCTCCGGACTTCTTCCTCAGTTTCGCCCAGCTGTCTGTTTGCTAACGTTAGCGTTAGCCAGCTAACGTTAGCAAACCAATGTTAGCTAGTAACGTTAGTTGTGCCGACTAAGCTAGCAACTTTTCCTAGCGACATGCACCCATTGTTGTTTTCTCAGTGTTCGCCAGGGCCACCAAATATCTAGGTCAGCTGTGAGATTCCTGGAAATAAATGTCGCTAGCCGCCTTTGAGGTTGGCTTTCCCGGGTTACTATGTTGATGTTTCACAACAGCGAAAACTAGGGTATCCAAGACGGGTAAGTAGCGGACATCGAACTATCGCGAGATTTGGACCATGTCTAAAGATCGGTAAGCCCCACCTAGTTCGCGCGCGCGCGCACACACACAAAGACACACACACACTGGCAGATCGACTCAATGTTTTTATATATTAAGCAAATCCACATCTCAGGAAGAAATTTTAAAAAAGGCAAGTTTTGATAAACGGTGTTAAATGATTGGGCACACGTATACATGTAAATACAACAAAAAGTAAAACAATTGAGTATCATAACAAAATGAAATACTTTCACAATGTTGCAGCATATGTCCTGAAGTTAGACTGTTGCAGAGTTTCTTACTTTCTTAACCGTGAAAAAAATGCTCAGCTAGAGCCATAGGCTCTAAATGCATGCAATCTTTAGTTAGGGCAGAAAAAAAGCGTTTTGCCGCCAGCCACACAACTTGTGTGTATTTAGTGCCACCGAGCGGCATGAGTGTGTATCACAGGCAGAAGTACAACTACCGCATCGACTTGCCTTCAGACTCTCATTCACAAAACAATAATTAGTCCACTAACCCCGAGTTCGGTTCGTTTCATGGGCTTTTCCTCACAATTTCTTTCATTCGGCTGCTTTTTATTGGGGCTCGAGCTCGGGTTCTCTCTCACTAGTCCCCACGGCAACAAATGGATGCACATTGTAAAAAAAGAAGGGCTAAATAGTTTCGATGGCAGCATCTGTGTCCACTGTTTAACAGGCGGGTCATAAATACATAAACTGCAGTGCAGCCTGTCTTAAGCATCAGGTCGGTGTTTCCAGGCTGTGTTTTCTCGCAGGAGGACGCAGCAGACAACAAGTAGGTTACCTGTGGGCTGCTTTGCTCATCGTGACGATGCGCACGCATAAGTTACATCAATGCATTTGTCATACGACAGCGGTCTTAAATGTATATTTGGGGGTCTTTTCAATGAAAGGTACTCCCATTCCCCTGCCTCCCATTCGCTGAAAAACCTGGTAGGGTCTCTCTCTCTCTCTCTCTCTCTCTCTCTCTCTCTCTCTCTCTCTCTCTGTGCTGGCAGGGGGACAGCACGTCGGACGTTGTCGTACACAGTATTTTTCCAGTTTTTTGTGGAAAGATGAACGACATGGAAAGGAGTCCTCTCGTTTTAGGTAAGACATTTGACGTATTTCTAGATCCAAACAGATTTTATAACAAAAAAAATAGAAGTAGAAAGGAGCTAAGCTTATAGCAACAACTATATATCATATATATATATATATATATATATATATATATATATAGATGGTATATTGTACCATCCAGAGAAATAGGGTGCAGAAGCCATAAAGAGGAATACTTTCATTGATAATACAGATTATTTAAAAGATGAATGACCAGAAAAACATGCAGTCTTGACCGTATAACAAATAATATTATCCTTCTTTGTTTCAATTAAACGTTTTTGAGAGTCCTTTGTGTCTCAGACACTTTTTTTCTAAAAAATCTGTAAAGTCCTTACATTTTTTTTAAACTCCATTGTATTCTTGATAAACCTACGCAAGCGTGACAGATCAATAATCTCTATTCACATAGACATGTGCAACAGGCTGAGACAGGAGACTTAATCACCAAGGTCATGCTGAAACAAGAAGATCACATCTTCATTATCAGTGTGCTGCTCAGAGTGACAGAGCAGGTGTCGGTCCGAGGGCCACGCGGAGATGATCCGAATCAGCTTCTGCATGTTACTGAATGGGCCCAGATACTGATAAAACATTCAAGGGCAGGAGAAGGAATTTCTTCCTCGGTCTATCTCAGACGTTGGGCAAGGCAGTGATCGTTACTCCAAGGAGGGAGGAATTAATTAAAGATGAGAAAATCAAGACTACATTTGCTCCAATTAATTAACAGGATGCGTGTCTCTGACAAGTTGTTAATGAGGTTTTAGATACTAAACTGTTACCACTTCCTTGTGAAATCAATCTACCATCTCGTCTTTTCATTCTCTGCTCTTGTACTTTCATCATCTTTTGCAAGAAAAAAAAAAGACTCTTGGTATTTATTTAGATAAACAAATCCATCAGAAGCACCACAAACAGCCTGTTTTCTCGGGTCATGGGAGGTTGACACTAAAGGAAGAGGCAGTTTGAATAATCAATGTTTGGATGACAGGCTGCTGGAGGCACACACCGTGTCGTCTTCATCACGTCACAATCTCTCTTATTAGGGTGCAGCCTTAAAATTGCTGTCACGCAAACTCCAACAACACCTAGTTATACCGTTCAGTGGTTCGATAGGTACGTGATCAGCTTTCTTGTAACATCAATCACATGATCTCATGAATAAGCGCAAATGGTTCTCCGGAGAGACGTTCATTATTTCATCACATTAACAGTTGTCACTTTATCAACCCCCCTCCCTCCCCCAATCCAAATTTATTTCATTTTAATTTTAGTGTTTCTGCTCAGCAGTCAAACAGAACCTCTTAAACTGAAACAAACTTTACGGTTCTTGTATCACCCGCAATGCAATAATTGTGATTTTTCATTTGCTGGGGTGATTAAGCGTATCTTTTATCACCTCAAGATGCAACTAAATCCATGTTTAGTAGCCACATGCAGACTTTCTCTTAAACTATTGGTAAATACACAAAGCACTGACAGCGTACTGTCCAGAATGCTCGTTTCAGAAAACAAACCACTTACAGCTTCAGAACATTGGCTTCCTGTTGAGCTTGACAACAAATCTAGGTAATGAGAGGAACAGTTTGCAGCTGCTTTCCACAGTAATCGGGGTGCAATCGCCAAGATGAATAAATATATGCATATCTTTCTTTTTTACAGATCAGGGAAAATTCGTCACCTTTCATTTATATGTTTTCAAAGTGCTTTTTTACTCCTCTGCCTTGAGGATGATTTTGGCAACGATTTAAAAGTCAAGACCCTTACTGCCGTGTAATCCGAAACAATATTACGCTGTAATAATATGTATGTTCATGACATTCTACCATTTTACCTGCTGTAAGGTAACAACATTACATCATTCATTTAGCCCCTAAAGCATTTTTTTTTCAAAATGTATTGCTCTGTCAAGTCCTCCCTACAGAATCCAATCACTTCTGGGAAAGTATCCAATTAGATTTAATGGTTTGGTATTTCTATTAATATAGTATTCAATTAGACTAGATCGAAGTGAGACTGTCTGTTGAACGGAACAACACAAATACAATAAAATCAATAAAATCTGCAGTTTTTCACAACATTGTTGGACACCTTGTTTAAAAACCTAAACATATAAACATTACCAAAACTGTATGATACAACTCTATCCAAACACTGAGGAAATGCATCATTTAGCACCCTTTTCCTCCCCATGAGGCAACTTTTCCTTCCAGTGATTGCACCATAACCGTGTGGTGGTCCTATTAGTTGTGTTGATCATTACTCATCTCATGTGTCAGGGATGTTGTGTAATGGTCTTTTGCAGAAGGTCATCACAGCGGTAGGATCCCTTTGAGAGGCGTCAGTCAGGGTGTATCAGGCTGCAGTTAAAGACAAAAAGACTCACTGCCGTATAAATTAAAGAGGAAAATGAGCTGACAAACGTATCAAACTCTTAACAGGAATAACAGGAATTTAAATATACGGCTTTGTAATGTTCCTTGGGGAGTACATTTCAAGTATAAAGAAAAATGTGAGAAATCTGAATTTCACTCTCAGGGAGCCCATCAAGTCAAAATGTATCCAACATTTTTACTTTGACAGCCCGTTTAATGTCTTTGTTTGCTCACTGGAATAGAAAGTTGTGAATTGAATATGTAGATATTGCCTCTGCCTAATACACTCTGTATAACACAGGAGAGTAATCTAAAGGGTCTCAATTATGAGAGTCCCAAGCTTCAAATGATAGGTTGTCAGAGCTAGAGAATATAGGACTTCTTATTGAGAGGACTCACACACTCTGTGTGTGTCTGGGCTACAATAGTAATGATCTGTCGTGTTACATTTTTCCTTCCTCTTGGATGAGCTGTTGGTTCTGCTCATTCCATCGTTGTTCCTCTGTTGCCAATCCAATGCTTGGGACCAAAGTCAACTGAGACAGTCATGTGAAGTAGAATAGTATATTCCCCTGTTCGCACTGCTCGCCCGAAGTTGGCTGGGACAGACTCCAGCCCCCCCGCGACCCTTTGTGCAGGATAAGCGGTTTGACGATGAATGGATGTTCCCGCTGCAGTGTGCTGGAGGACTCCCAAATATGTTTGTCTATCCCCCCGCAAAAAGATGCATATTTAGCCCTCTTTGCAATATCTGTTTTAATCTTTCATCTTATTGGCATATTTCTCCATCTTTAACTGTAATACAAAGAAGCATATTTAAGAAATAATATTAGTTTGAAGGCAAGGTCTGTATGACTGAAATGATCGGATTTCTGGCACGGATTCTCATTTTTTAATTCTCCTTTTGGACTATCCAAGCTGTCCTCAAGATTCCTCACCATTGCGGTTGAATCACCCTTCCATTCATTAGGGCACATGACGGTTATTTTGGGCTGGCTCAAATGCATGTCGGATTCCCTTCAAACAGCCATTAGAGCGGTGACATAAAACTCTGTGACACGAGTTTGGCCTCTCACCAGGTTTAGGGGAGGATGTGGTGGAAATACGACGCGTAGTCAGGGTGGTTGTGTGTGTCGCTGTGGGCAGCAGGTGTGAGAAGGTTCCTCGCCTGCCAGGGCCTCTCGTTCACTCCTCATTAGTGACCTTGTAGACACCTGGCTGTCAAACAAAGAGCGTAAAAAAACAACTCTGACGGTACGTTTCGGTTTTCATACAGACTCGCAGTCTTTATCTCTGTCTGCTTGAATTCTGATCTAAGTAACCGAAGAGTCGCCACGTGTAAGCTGCGAGTAGCACGTTGGTACGTTGTGAACCATTTTGGATAATGGCAGTATGAAACTTCAGGGACTAAAGCTAGTCAGCGTTTGACATCTAATAAGCTAATGAGGGTGATTATATTGAACCACAGTCAACTTTCCTGGTAGTTTGGTTTTGACA